AATAATCTGTTAAGAGGTATAAATGTCAAATTTGACATAAAACAGTCTAGAGGTTTTATATATTTTCATGACTTGTGCCATGATTCAAAATGTTTACAGCATTGTTAAAACCCAGAATATCTTTTACTATATCCTCAGTAATTGTCAGTTTATTGTTGCCTATCATTGGTCATGTTCCCTTTATCCCCGTTGTTTCCCACAGCGCTTTATAGTTAAAGCAGTCGCCTAACAACACATGCCTTCTGCCTTACCTATCATTAAAGGTAACATGTTTTGATTTAAATCCTCCCTGCGTCTCTGTCGGGCCAGAGACATTACAGGGGGTTGCGTGTGGCCTGGGGGAGCATGTAGTGAAAAGTGTTTACCAACTAGGCGGACCACCAGTTCTGCAGGGCTAAAATAGTGCCGAAACACTATAGTCCACATGTTGATAAAATTATTTGAAAAAGACACAAAAAGGACAAAAAGACTAGATCATAAATATAAAGTTGTGCAATTTGTGTGCAACCACAAATTAGTGTTATACATGTCTTGATATGTTTTTTACAACTGCAGATATTGTTTAATGCATCATCATGGTTGAAAAAACATCCTGAAATTTGTTGAAAAACAGACAATATGAACTTTAAGTGTTTAACAAATCCAGATAAACTGTAAAAAAAAAACTGGTAACAACTCATTATGAACCACTACAAATGCTATGACGGGTTGCAGTAAATTTGGGTTTGAAAGAGAAAGAGAAAGAGAAATCCAGAAGTTATATCTCAGACCAAACAGGTCAGTCTGACTGTATCTATTTAATACCTCTGTCCTGTCTCTTATTCTGTTGATTTTCCCTAACAGGGTTTCCTTGAGAACTAAATCTACTTAGGATTTATTGTTTCTTATTATTTCTAGTCATTGGAAATTATAATCCTTTCACCTAATCCCCCCCCCCTCCCTCCCTCTCTTTCAGATCATATTCATCAAGATCATCCCCTCTGACAAAGCAAGAAATCAGCACAGTGGGTAGGCCTAAAGAGAGCGCATACCAAAACAGGGGGTTTCTTCCTAATCAAATCAGGTTCCTCTGATGTAATCAAGACGAGACGCCAAAGACGACCACATAATCTCCCCGGTACATGCCTCGCTTGCTTGCACATTATTAAAAAATGAGGAGGAACAAATCTTTAGATTGAAAGACTGAAAAAAATGGAATTATAATAAATCGGGGGGAAACTGGGGCAAGGTTGGATAAAGGCTTCAGATACAGATGAGGGACAAATCTTCACTGTGGTTTATGCTTGTATGTATTTATGTGTGTGTGAGAGAGATAGAGAGGGAGCAGCAGTGTGCGTGTGCTATGTTACTGTTCAATTTACTCAAGATCAAGTCCCTGACCTGAGCGTCCCTTTCTACAAAAAACAGTCCTGATAGTGCTGGTCATCTCTTAAAACTCACTCAGCGTCGTCAGATAATCTGTCTGTTTCTGAGGTGACCAGGGGACTGATGCATCATGGATGGGATTCCCAATTATTGGAGACTGCACTTACAATGAACAACCACACGATGGCACAATATGACAAAATGGACACCAGCTGAAAATTTGAAGGGGTCTTCCTATTAGTCTGAGCTAATTTTTAAATCTCCATGACGGATACAGAATATAGAATCTATTGTGTAATCAGTGCTTCAGTTGTCATGTTTAATATTTTACTACTACGTTATTAATAAGTGTTAAATAGACAGATTCAGCTAAGTCCTGAGAAGTGAACACACAGTGACTCAAAAACATCTTTCTCTGGTCTAATAAACTGTACACACAGAAACTTATTACCTATATAATTGATTTATCTTATCTTACAATGAAAATACATTGATAATGGCATTGATGTCTAAAGCACTTTCTAAAAGATACAAAAGGAGTTCATATTTATAAGACCGCTTGTCTTTGTTTATTAAAAAGTAGTGCAGTAATGTAGGAAATTGAAACTGAATCATGGTTGTGCATTTTGATTGTGAGAATCATGAGAACAGAGAGGATGCACAGCTCTAATACCTTGCCTATATAAATTGGGGGACTCCGCACCATTAAGGGGGATCCCTGAATCTGAGTTAAGACACAGCAATGGTGGGCCGATCGGAAGCTCCTTGTTATTGAAAGCGGCAGATCTCCCTCTATCAAACCTTTGGTTCACTCAATTACGTAAGTGTAGTGGCAGCCTTTGAAGAATTAACATACAGGATAGTAGAGCGGCTAGACTTCTAAAACACTTTCTAATAACTATCGTGCAGCTGATGTAGACATACAGACCCCCTGTAATCTGATGCTAACATTATAGTCTGTAAACAGTAGACAACTGACCACTCCCATGCAGTCTATTTTAAAAGATAAACATTTTACTTTTTGATTTTTGTTCTACTTTATTTCTTTATTTAATCTGAATATGATTTGTGTTTTTGTCGGTTCTGTTCCTTTGTCTTTCAATTATAGTGTTGCCCTCTTCTGGCATTGTTCGCTATCATTTACTGTATTGTATTGTATTCTTGTGAAACATGTGAAAAAACAATACATATCATAAAAATAATATTCTACTCTATTAATGTATTGAGTTCCCTGACATGTACACACACTGCTGCCACAACACAAAGAATGAAAATGCTCAATAGCTGCTGAGTCATTATTGGTCTTCACCACCAGATGGCCTTATTAACCTACAGCAGAAAGTACCAACGCTGTGGAGGTTAACTGCAGACTATTCATTCATATGGTAGCTTGTGATTTTTAATAAATAGAAACGTTTTTTGTCTATGTATCAGATTTTGTCTCAGGATGTCCTAAGAGGCCATGTGCTCAACCATTTTTCTAACAAATCAAAAGATAACACAGGTCAATGTTTTATGGTGGCTTGGAGTTTAGGGTGTGAACCATGATGACCACAGTTTGAGTCATTCTCTTACTTTTCTCCTCTAATATTTTGTAATCTGGGTACTGTCCACTTCCTTTTAGGATACAAAGGTAAAATAAAACTTATTTATTTCTAAAGGTTAAGCCAAAGCTGCTACTAATTCCTCTGTGCTATAGTTCTTCATATAAAAAAAATGCAGCTCTGTATGTATTAAGGTTGACACTATCACACTGTTTTGTGAAACTATAGAAATATCTATCAGCAAAGATATTCCAATGCATAACTTTGGTACTGTTAATACCTCTCAGAATGTAAATAGGCATTGGTAAGGACAACTTGGTATTATTAATTAGTATAAAACAAAATAATTCATCAGCTATACAAAGCAACACAATATCTTAACACAGTGACACACAGATGCCTTGTTTTCTCAATCAGAAAATTCCCTTGAGATTTTTCAGTCTTTCCACTTTATGATGCTGACCATGATGTCAAATGACACTGTCCTTGATTTAATATTTCATTCCTTTTGTCTGCACTAATAAGACACCACATCTAGATAGTCCCCCTTGCCCATTTAAACTTCAAGGGCCCAATTCTAGGCAAACTTTTTTTTTCAGAGTGACCATTTTTAACTACCCCAGAACATGAACTCTCAAATCTACATGATGTGCCTTTGAAGAGTTAGAGTTTCAGATTTATGTGACTCAGAAATTGTCATGTTCAATCAGATCAAAAGGCAAAGCAATGCAAATATAACATTTAAAAAAAAAATGTTCCAAGCATAAAGATTACAGTACAAGAAAGGGGAAACTTGTAAGTTGTGCTGATTACAATACAACACACATTACAGGTGTAAATGCTAGTGTAAATGCACCTGCTGTTATTAACTCTGTTATGTTAAATAAAAAAAACACTGCTAGTAAAGTGATGGGGTGGAGCAGCGATTTTAAAAGTGCGGGTGTTCTAATACTAGTATATTACCACCCTCTCGGAAATCAACACATTTCATTTAATGTCCAATAACTAATGTTAGCTGACACATCATACAACAAGACAAAGTTACAAAATATAATTAGACACTAACTTTATGAACGTCCATTGTGAGAGTAACCCAGTTAGCTCTAAAAACCAGATTCAAAACTGCTCTTTGTGATGCTTTTATTTTGCTTTTCTTATTGCCTTATGCCTCAGTCTCTTTATTTCCGGTCTTCATATAAAATGTGCTTTTATTTTTGAAAAACTGCAAAGGGGACTTCTGCTACATCGTAAAGTTACGGGAATAAATAAATACAGCTATTTTTTTTTTATCTTTATTTAAATGGTTAACTTTCTGTTCGTTTCTTAAGGGCAGGTTTACCAGCCAGTGAGTGAAGTACTGATAATGAGCCGCTAGGGGCGCTGTTTGACCTGTGGACTCAGCTGAAGGAAAATAAATGTTACAAGTAAATTATTAATATTTTAGCATGACAGTGATAGCTATTTGTATGAAAACTTCTGCCAGTAAAACATAAAGGTTTGATGATAACTTGTCCTTGATGGTAGGCTAAATGTATTCCCAGAGTAGCGCAAAAAAATATTAAACCATCCTAATATTTAAAAATCGATATTATGGGATTAAGATGTAGGCCTAATAATAATCCAAACACGATGATATAGAAACGTAAAAGTTTCGTTGCCATAACCTAAATGAAGCAACTCCCAGAAACTGTATTTATTTATTTATTTATTTGTTCATTCATTTATTTATTTATTTATTTATTTATTTATTTATTTATTTGTTCATTCATTTATTCATTTATTTATTTATTTATTTATTTATTTATTTATTTATTTATTCATTTATTTATTTGTTATTTGGGACAGTGCATATTAATGAACAGCTGTAACAATTACAGCTGTAAAAAGTGCCAGATTATAGCAGAAGTGCTAGTTTCCATCTGTTGTCTCTATAGGCAGGTAACAGAGAAAGACTGTAGGCTCCTAATCTTTGTTAAGGGCTTCTTTTAGTTATTGGCCAGCAGGGAAAAAGTTGTCTGTCACGAGAATACAGAATGAGACAGCCACCAGGCGCATCCTTTGCCTTTTGAATGTGGCTGTGTGGACTATTAATGGGGGAGGGTTACGCCCCTTAACTTGTAGCTGCGGGTGCCAGTGCCACATCCCACCTCTTCTCTCCCGGGTCCTCCAGAGTGAGGGATCACTTTTGGAAGAAGACGACCCGAAAGAGGTAGCCTACAATGACGGGTGGCAGTGGCATCGCAGGGGTCGAGAGGTTTGAAAGTCCAGGAAAAGGGCGAGGACTTCGCGTTACCAGAGCCTTTAAATTGGGAGAGCTGCTGTTCTGTAGCCAGGCTTACTCTTATGTGCTGTCAGTGAAGGAGAGAGGCAGCTACTGTGAATGCTGCCTCACCAGGTAAGTCACTGTATAGGTCTAATATCTCAGCATACCGTGACAAGGTATTTCAAAGTTGCATTATTTTAATTTCTGAGTTCCTTACTGACCACCTAACACAAAGCCCAAGCTATGTAGAGTCTTTGACATAAATGTGTCACTCCTTCAATTCTATTTTGGTAGCTCATCTTTCTGAATGGAGGTTCATGTATATCATATTCCACATAGGCTAGTTAAATCCCTCCCTCTGGCCCCCTTATGAATGCTGAACATGGGAAACTGATTTGGTTGTCTGACTGGCATCATGGCAACTCAATAGAATGTATTTCAAGTCTAGCTATTTTGTTTTGATTAGTGAATTGATCATAAATTACAATTAATATATTGTTTTATTATGCCATCACACGTGCCACAATGACAGGTTAATGGATTAAACATGCAGCTATAGACTTTAGTAAGCCTCGAAACAGATACCCAGTTTTTGGTGGAGTGAACTTATGGACTGCTTTACCGTTTCAGTGTGGTATAAAGACAGCTGGTTAATTACGAGGTCAGCTCTATTAATACCACAGAATGTTTTAGAGGTCTCAATTGCTATCAGTTACGACAGGCCACCGCCAGCTGCTTTCCTGTAACAGAGCCTTATGTTTCAATGTCCAATATACACACCAACCACACTCATGAGTGGTTTGTTTGTGTGTCTGGGGGGGATATACAGGGGCGCGTAAAGATTTCAGTTACTTTTTAATCCTATTCTGGTCATTATCCATAACCTAATAAGATGTTGTTTGTTGTTTTTAGGAAAGAGCACTTGGCAAGATGTGGGAAGTGCAAAAAAGCCTTCTACTGCAATGTGAAATGTCAGGTAGGAAACAGTATGGGAAGGTGCAGATGGCTTTGTAATGAATTGAATACTGTCTAAGTGTTTAGCTCTAAAATTATATCTAAAATGTCCCTTTAGTGCAACCTGCAGCCTTCAGCAATACTAATCTCCAATACAGTTTATTTCAGAGTAAAAATAACTTTTTTTTACACTGGCTTCAAACCACTGTTTCCAACTTTTCCCTGCAAAAAACAAAAACCAATAGGCCCGGGGAACATTTTTATTTCCTTGTTTCAACATTGAATCCATTGTCTTAATTTACATTTCATCCAGTATTTGATATGGCTTCCTGTTTAGAGTGGGCAAGCACAATGTAAACTGATTATTATATTTGTTGCCACCATTGACACTTTAGAGAAATTAACCTGCATTGAAAATAGAGATACAAAGATGGATCATCAAACCATCATATAAGAAACAATTGGAATAAACCCCTGCTTTATCCCAAAGTACCCCTACTAGTACCCACATTAAAAACTTGCTTGACTGTTAATTGCGGAGGTCTAAAAATGTAAAGCTGTGTCAGGCATAAGGCTTTATAGTAGCTGACTGGTCTACCCTGACTCTGTTGTGTTGTACCAAGATGCTCTGAGTGGAGTCACTTCCCTTCATGATGATCATGTCACCTGTTAGGCTTCTCGTTCTAGTGGAAACTAAATTGTAAATAAATGAATGGGCTTTAGACTACAGAGTTGTTTTTTTATTATCTGCTGGTTTTAATATGTATGTGTGTTTTGTGTAGAAATCAGACTGGGCCATGCACAAGCTGGAGTGCTCTGCAATAACTGCATTCGGAGAGAACTGGTGTCCGTCAGAGATGTCCCGCCTGGTGGCTCGGATCCTAGCAAAGAAGGTTGGACAGGCACAGTGTACCTCTGAAGTGCTGTTTGTTACACACTGTAAAGTTCACTCAGGTCATTTCTGTCAATCTTGCCTGTTTTTTTTTTTCTCCACAGAAAACACAGAAAGAAAGGTGTGATTCCGAGAAGATTTTGCTCATAGAAGAGATGCAGTCACGTGAGTATTCTCATCTGTTCACTCACACACATTATTTTTTTTGGTCTTCTTTTGGTTTCTTTTTTGGGGGCATCTCAAAAAAAAACTTCTGTGGAATGGGTCTGTGTAGATTCAGAGTGAAGTATTCAGAGACTCTATGGCTGTACTTCAGTCCTAAGTGTCCTGAGATATCCCTCTTAAAAAAGCACGGCCCATTCAGATAAGAAGTAGAACCCCCCCTTGTTCTCATCTATATATATCATATAGATGTGGGTCCAACGGCCATTAGACAACATAACAAGTGTCACAACTTGAACAAGATGCAGCAGCACTTTAGACGAACACACACAGAGCTGACTGCATGAGTACCTGTTTGTCAAATTGAGTTGGATGTGGTTGATGGTATTGAAATAATTTATAGATTCAGTTTAAATCATAAAAAAAAGTATTTCAACCAAATTTTCACAACTAATAAAACATATGATTGGATTTTCTGTGTATGTATACTCCACCGCTGGTTACAGATCAAAGTGCTATTGGGAACTGTATGTGAGTCATTCAGTAAAAAGTGTTGTTTGCTCCTGGTGATGCTGCATGAGGAGTGAGCCTTGGTTTGTGCTAAATGCGAGAAAATAACTAAGGTTTAAAAGAAGGGACGGGAAGTTAGAAATAATAGACGTTCAAGACTTCTCTAGCCCTTTCATCATCCTGGAACGAAGCTAGCAGCTATGGGCTACATTAGCTACTGCTAGCACACACAAATCTCTAACAATAGTATTGGCGGTTTAGTTTAATTATGTGTTTTGTAAGGATGATTTCTGCCCATTGTGATTCTTATATTGTTATGGAAGTGGAAGAGTACTCTTGTGATGATACTAAATATCTATCTATACACATAGAAAAGTGTGTGTCCCTTTGCTGATGTACTATCCTATATGCATGATAGAATAAGTCAAAATGAGCTGAAGTTTTGTTACATCTTTTTCTTTTATGGCACATTGGTTGACAAGGCTACATGAAGTTGTCCTTTCACAGAAATTCGTAAAACACAGTGCAACATGTGACTATCCTTTATGTGCTAGCACCTCGTAAGAGAGTATGCTTAACTGTGGAACAGAGAGGGGGTTTGATGTAACGTCCCTGGGCGAGGCGGACTCTACACCCATGTGTGTTTGATGGAGGCTGGCCTGAAAGTGTGAGCACATCCAGGATCTTTACCCAACCGCTTGTGAAGATTTACTGGTGTTGGAAGGATGTCATAAGTAGCTCCCATAAATCCTTCCAGCTGATCTTCCTCCTCCACACTGTCCCACTGTGTCCACTGTCCCTGCTTACCCAAAGGAAACCACCTTGGCCCACCTTGCAGCTTCCTCTTGGTGTCTTATTTCTCCCTAACAGAAAAAAACAACTTCCTAAAGCATTTTAAATAATATAGGAAATTGGGTACCCTGTTGCCAAAAGTCTAAAGAAGCACTTGTCAATGTAAACTTAAAAAAAGAAACAGTATTTTCAGCATTCCTGTGTTTGTTTGTGATGTTGTGAGTCTGTGTCTGAAGTTCATGTTCACTATGAAACACTGAGTCAGTATGAGTGTCTGATTTACCAAAATAAATTGACTCCAGTGTTACAGGCCAGAGATAAGACACACACACACACACAAATAGATGCCATGGTGACAGTGTGTTTCTATTTTGGCATCATGAGAGTGACAAATGAAGGAAAGCTGTTATGCAAGTCTGTCTACAGTTGCTATTGATATTTATTGACTGAACCTGATGAAAAGCAGTCAGTGTAAAAGAGAAATAGGATGTAAAAAAGTTTATATCTTACAGGGTTTAAAGTCAAGTTTTATCAAAGGTGGCTTCAGTTAGTTGAAAGCCTTTGCAACGTGACTGCTCACTTGCTTCATGAAGTTACGTTTTTTTTCTACCTTAACTTACATTTTATTTATGCAAAGAGGGTATATCCACATCAGGACTGCTTAGCTTCTTTTTCACCTGTTTTATATTATAGGGAATCAATGTCTAACATGTGGACTAACAATGTCGTGTGGAGTAAATTTGACTCTAGTACAACTGTAGTGCTAGGGCAATATACAAAATCATAAATTAAATTGTCTCCTTCTCCTCCAACAGACATGGAGGACGTAGACAATGAGAAAAGAGAGATGAACGAGGCAGATGTTGCCGGACTGCATCGTTATTGCTCCAAAAATTTGGACCTGCCCGACCATAAAGACCTGCTTACACTCTTCTCCCAGGTACTTATACCTACTCCCTTGAATGGCTGGTGATGATGTTATCTGTTGATTCTTACTCCTCTATCTGATTCTTATGAGGTAGGTAAAGATTGTGTAATCCTGACAATTTGCATGTCCCTTATTTCCCATGAAACCTTGGAGTTTATAAGAAAAAGAAAGACATTGTGAGTTACAAAAAACTTTGTGCTTAACAAGTAAAGATTGTTGAGATGTTTTCTTTCCCTTCTCTTTGACTTTTACTCATCAGGTTGCCTGTAATGGTTTCACTATAGAGGATGATGAACTGTCCCACATGGGTACTGCAGTCTACCCAGAGTAAGTAAGGAAAACTCTTGAGCACATTTTCACTCTGTGCCCTTGCGGTAAAAGTATAGAATAGTGAACAGTTCTTTTTTTTCCAAAACATAGAGCATAAAGAGAGCCATTTGAAGCCATTGCATGCTACACAAAAGGTCAGCAATATGCAACAGTTATCTGCATTACACATATTATCAGTTTCTAACTAAACAGGTTAGTGTTTTTTCTTCACCTGTTGGTCATTTGGTTCATCTCCCCCTCCTGCTGTGGCCATTAAGTAAGAAGGTGAATTTGCCCTCTTAGCTAGTTTTAGCAATTTCCAGCCTGCCACCAAGGTGATAAAGAGGTCTGTAAGTTTATTTGTAGCATGGTGCTCGTACCACTTCAAAGCGATGTGGTTATGTCACAGCTATGTGCAATAATAAGTTTGCACTTTTCTCACCGCTATAACTTAATGCTTCTTAAGAAAAGATAAAGAGAAATGTTAATCCCGTCCATCTCCTTTCGTCTTCCTGTCTCTGTCTCCACAGTGTGGCTCTCATAAACCACAGCTGTCTTCCCAGTGTCATAGTCACATATAACGGCACGTCAGCTGAGATTCGGGCTGTAAAGGACATGAAGCCCGGAGATGAAGTGAGGAAAGGGGACAGCTGCCGTTAGAAGGGATTGGGTCTTGTTTAGTTTTTTTTTTTCTTTGTGTGTGTCTGTGTGTGTGTGTCTGTCTGTATGTGTCTGTGTGTGTGTGTGTGTGTGTGTGTGTGTGTGTATGTGTGTGTGTCTGTGTGTGTGTGTCTGTCTGTATGTGTCTGTGTGTGTGTGTGTGTGTGTGTGTGTGTGTGTGTGTGTGTGTGTGTGTGTGTGTCTGTCTGTATGTGTGTGTGTGTGTGTGTGTGTGTGTGTGTGTGTGTGTGTGTGTGTGTGTGTCTGTCTGTATGTGTCTGTGTGTATGTGTGTATGTATGTGTGTGTGTGTGTGTGTGTGTGTGTGTCTGTCTGTGTGTCTGTCTGTGTGTGTGTCTGTCTGTATGTGTGTCTGTCTGTATGTGTGTGTGTCTGTCTGTCTGTGTGTGTGTGTGTGTGTGTGTGTGTGTGTGTGTGTGTGTGTGTGTGTGTGTGTGTGTCTGTCTGTCTGTCTGTCTGTATGTGTGTCTGTATGTGAATGTGTATGTATGTGTGTGTGTGTGTGTGTGTGTGTGTGTGTGTGTGTGTGTGTGTGTGTGTGTGTGTGTGTGTCTGTCTGTCTGTATGTGTCTGTGTGTGTGTGTGTGTCTGTCTGTCTGTCTGTATGTGTCTGTGTGTGTGTGTGTGTGTGTGTGTGTGTGTGTGTGTGTGTGTGTGTGTGTGTGTACTGTATGTTTTTGTGTGTGTGTGTTTGTGTGAATACACAAAAAAAAGGAACGTATCAACGTTGAAATAACTGTAAGCCAATGTTTTTTCTGCTTCCTTAAATGAAGACAAATAGTTGTGTTATTAGCGTACTGGTGGAGAACAGTCAGAACACTCACATCTGTCCTTAATGTAGCTAAAGCTTGGAGAAAATGAATCAGAATGAAGACTGGAAACAGACCTGTCATGGTTTCAAAAGGGATTATTTGCTCGACTTCCTTTTGGTCAGGTAAAGTTACTTCTTGGAGCCTTGCCAGATTTGTTATGTTGCCAGGCAACCAGAGGAGACTGGTTACTATCCAAAGAGGTCAGGTTATTACTTTTCAATGGTTATTATCAGTCTTTATGCTAAGCTTAGCTCAAAGGCTGCTACTGTTTTCTTTGTGTTGACCATACAAAGATGAGAGTGCTATCAATCATCTCATCAAACTCTCTGCAAGAGAGCAAATAACCTCACTTTCCCAAATTTGAAATAGACTCTATATCTCCAAACAACCTTGACTGATTGTGGTCTCTCTGTCTCTCTCTGTCTCTCTCTCTCTCTCTCTCTCTCTCTCTCTGTCTCTCTCTCTCTCTGTCTCTCTCTCTCTCTCTCTGTCTCTCTCTCTCTCTCTGTCTCTCTCTCTGTCTCTCTCTCTGTCTCTCTCTCTCTCTCTCTCTCTCTCTCTGTCTCTCTCTGTCTCTCTCTCTCTCTCTCTCTCTCTCTCTCTCTCTCTCTCTCTCTGTCTCTCTCTCTGTCTCTCTCTCTGTCTCTCTCTCTCTCTCTCTCTCTCTCTCTCTCTGTCTCTCAGCAGTGTTTTGTGAAAAACACAGTGGAGAATATAAGAGACATTAGCGTAAAAAAAGAAAGGTCTGTGAGACTTGACCCTTGAAATGAGACTGTGAAACTGAAATGCACAGTCAGGCGTGTGAAGGCTTCGGCATGAGCATAGTGTGACATCACTGCTGGTGTACAGTACCAGGTCAATGACAGTTTAATTGTAATAGTCAGTGTGTCGAAGAAGACTGGGCGTAGTTGAGAGGAAGGGGCTGCAGCAGCTGGTTTAAGAGGCTGTTGGGGGGCTATTTCCAGACTGACCTTTTAACCTGCACACTGGAAGCTTCAAACAGCAGGAAACACGGAAGCTGGAGAGTGCATTATTTTGAAATCTCATGTGTCATGTGTTTGGATGTTACTTCCACCTGCAGGTGCTCATCAGCTACATCGACCTCCTCTACCCGACAGACGACCGCAACAACAGGCTGAGAGAGTCCTACTACTTCACCTGTGACTGCAAGGAGTGTAAGAGCAAGTCCAAGGTAAGAACATGAAGTTCTAAGGGAGACATGGTGTATGTAGAAGCTGCATTTTCATCGTGATCTGTGTCCTTACCCCCCAACTTTAGGATAAGGTGAAGATAAAAGTACGAAAACAGAGCGACCCCATTGAGCCAGACGTCATCAACAACATGGTGCGCTACGCGAGGAAAACCATCAGAGAGTTCAGAGCATTCAAGAACATAAAAAATATCCTTTCATTCGTTATCAATCACACCTGCTGGATATATCAGGTGAAAAATGTGCCAATGAACCGTTGTGATTTATTTCTTTTACTGTGTTGATTTGACTTTTAACAAAACCGTCATGGAGAGGAGAGCGGAGGCTTCAGAACAGCAGTTTGTTTTTTTTTATGTTTGTGCTCAAGGGCGACATCTACTGGATGAAAAAGTCACACATTCTTCCTTTATACCATTTTTTAAGAGTAAAGCAAGACAACACCCCGGTCAGACGAGCTCACTGAGTATTCTCTGACCCGTCTCACATCCTCCACGCTGAGTGTGAAGCAAACTGAACCGTTTTTAAAACTCCCATTATACACACCTCGATCAAAACTCTGAATAATGTTTCTTAAGGCTGTGTGTGTTTTGCACAGCATCATGGGGTTCTTATATTTTCTTACTTGTGTTGTTTATTTACGCGGAGCTGGTGCAATATGGGTATTATGCAATATTTGTTGTTTTGTTTTTTGGTTCGCATTTGTATCTGCTTTTCTGTTTACACGGGATTGTGTTTGTTTCTGTCGTTTTCATTTACTAATTCTACTGCAGCTGAATGCGTGCAGCACTTGTAGTCCATGACAAAACACGTCATCCTATCGCATCACTACGGACATCATTATTCAGTAGTATCTTCCTAAAGTGTAAAACATCTGATTGTATTAGAAAAGGCCCCTTCAAGATGTAATAAAACTCCAGCTCATGTCGATGCAGCCTTGACTCTTCAGCACCCCCCAGTGAGCTGCTGGAGATGTGTGAGCAGAGCCTGGATGAGATGGGAGCCGTGTTTGACGACTCTAACGTCTACATGCTCCACATGATGTACCAGGCCATGGGGGTTTGTCTCTACATGCAGGATGCAGACGGAGCGATCAGATACGGAGAGAAGATCCTCAAACCGTACTGGTGAGTCTTAAAAACAATCAGATTTTTCTACATTTTCTCGAACTTTCTTAAGTCAGAAATGTCTACGCGCTTCATGTACTTTTATTTCATGTACTTGTTGTTATTAGTTTTATTCATTCAAGTTTTCAGTGCATGCCCTACAGTTTCTTTTGGTTGATTGTGGGAATTGTAGGCTCCAGTTTGACCAATACTAGGAACTAAAAGTCAGGATTTGTTCTGCCTCTGTCACATTTGTGTCTCTTTGAATAGTTGGTGGTTTGTTGATGCAGGTCATACGAGCAGGAAGAATTTAGAAAAAGAAAAACAATGCATTACTTACTTTGTGGAGATATTTTGTTTCATTTCATCATCAAACTACTTTTAGAGCAATGTATACTGTAAATGTAATCATTATGGTTGATCTCTTTTCAATGCAGTCAGCTGTATCCACCGTACTCTCTAAATGTGTCCTCCATGTACCTGAAGCTGGGCAGACTGTACATGGCACTGGAGATGTACTCAAAGGGTGTTAGCGCTCTCAAGAAGGTAACATGACCTGCTGAACTGCGACGTTACACTTCCACACTCAAATACATTAGTTACAGGGATTTTTCATCCAAGTCAACAACAGTTCAAACTGCTCTGATAAAAATCCTGAGCAAAAACAGTGCCTGGAAATAATTTGTTTTTTTTTCTGTTTTACTTTTTGTAACTTACTTATTCAGTAAAACACATATTATTGTCTAAACAGAAGCATCTCGTCAGTAGGAATAACAAACTACACATCTGTCAGAAAGTGAAATAGGAAAGTGTCTAATAAAGGAATGGGATGACAAGTTTTCAATGATCAATGAGGTTCAATATACCGAGAACTAGGATTCATGTACTTCCATGCTGTAAAATGTTTAAAACTAATATTTCTTTGTGCTCACACAGGCTTTGGCCATTATGGAGGTGGCTCATGGGAAGGATCACTTGTACGTGAAGGAGCTGCGCAAAGAGATGACACAAAAATAGAATGGAGAAAGCTAATGTACCAGAGCCGACCTTTAGTAACTGTATTAACTCATTTAAGAAGGAGCTTTACAAAACTGTCAACACTTTCTACTCCCTTTGGTACCAAAGCAAATTTTCTTTTTCTATTTTTTTTGGGGGGGGGAGGGGGCTAACCATTATATAACATATTATTATAATAACTGTTTTGTATGTAGGAACTTTTGACTGTCTTGAGATTCTTTTCTAACAAGCATATTTAATGTTCAGTTTTGTTCAGATTTGTTACATCCAACAATGTGAAAGCTGCTTTCTACTCAAGACAATAAGGTGTTTTCCAAGTTAAGTCTGGTTTTGTGTTTCTTTTAGCTTGTGAATGACATGTCAGCTGGACACTGGCATCCATCTGAGTCAAGTTGTTTACATGTGTGTAGGGTTAAAGCTATAACGTCCAATCAGAGCAGCTGCCTCACCACAGGAGGTCTGTTAAAGCTGCAGAATGCGCCCCTCCCCATAGACAGCCGGGATGAAACAATGGGTTTGCATTGAATGTTTAACACAATGATAAATACAACTTAAAGAAAAAAGGTTTTAAAGATCAAACATACGTGATCTGTGGCCACATTATTAAAGAAAATAAGGCTTTATTGCATAATAAGCAAGTACGACAGCTTCATACACGTCTGGGGAGAGAAAAACAAAAAGACTTGATGTACTGAAAACGCATATACAAAACATATGTACACATACTCTGAAAAGTTTTTTGGGAGTTTTGCCACAAAAAAAAAGGAAAAATTAAATATAAACAAACAAACAGTGGAATGCCATGTGAGGAAATACTGTCACAAAGAGAACAGAAGTGCAACAAAACACTTGTATATCAAGAGAGCATGAAGCTTATACTTATTTGAGAATATATACATTGAAATATAAAAATGCATGCATAGTTTATTATGTTGCAGTATTTGTATGGTACCAAGTCAAAAAAGAGAAACTATATAAAATATTTGTAGAAATCTTTTCTCACATGTATAAAGTTACTTTGGACACTGCAGAATTTGAATTACAATTCAGCAAAATTAAAAAAAAGGAATATTCAAAATAGCACGTCAAATGAAATCTTTAGAAATGTTTTTTCTATAAACAGGCATTGATCGAGGGGAATGGCAACATTGTTTACAGTTGTGTTTGGATCAGATCATTAAAATGGCTGCTTTTATAAGCAGAGCCCATTGTGAGTCACTTTTATACTGTTGCCCTTCAAAATAAAAGACATCGGCGCTCTTCTGCTAACAAAGCCTTACCTGAGAGTTAGGTAAGAGATCTGAAATGTTACTGTTGATCTTATATCAAAACAAAAGACTATAAAATACTGATTTAAAGATTTTATCTTTGAAGGTTAAACATGGATTAAGTTCTCTCCTTCTTTTTAATGTTTTAATAAGGCACATGACATTATCTACTTAGATAATACACAATTATCCATTGCATTTGCAAAACAGTAAAACAAATACTGGATAGTTCTAAAATATGTCCAATTTATTGGACCGTTTCTTGACTCTTGAAATGTTTTAGTTCAGAAATGTGGTAAGACATATTGGATTGGAAGGGACTCTGATTCTAGTAACAAGGAAATGTGTCTGTATGTGCAGGAGGGACCTCAATAGAAATGTATAGAATGAGAACAAAGAGGAATCAACCCTTTGACATTGAAAAAGAAGGCTTTTGGAAAAGTACAGTTAACATTAAGACAAGACTGAATCATAAAAGCAACAAAAAAAGAGACAGACGAAGGATCAACGCGCTTGTCACTGCTCCTCTCTTTGATGGCAGAGGTGACCACAATCTTAAAAGAAAATAAATTAAACATTTGTCACAATGTTGAAGATAATGTTTGCTGTATTGATCAAAACTCTGTTAGAAATAAAGGAACATTTTCTGTGATTTCATGAATACTTTTGTTTGGCAAACTCTTTTAGAGAAAATAGTCATAATACTGCTGCCACCTACTGTTCATGCATCGTATTGCCATTTGTAGAGATGGCTGAAAAAAAAGAATGAGATATGTAGCAGGAAGGCAATCATTCAAACTGATACTGACATCTGATGTCTTAAGATATTCCTGTCAAAGTCAGCCGCAATGTGAATTAAAAAAAACAACGGGTGGGTCTGAACACACTGATTAGGACAAATGGTCGTCAATTTGTATACAGGCCTACACAAATTATTCCCTCCCTCGAGGTGAGTTTGTATGAAAATCCACAAGAATTTCTATTAACATACTGTCACAAGTCTCAGCATGAACCTCTGAATCTGCGTCCAACAAGGTTGTGCTGTACATGTGGCAATCTTAAGTACCGTACTCGTTAAGGTCAAAAGTCACAATCCAAGTCCTAAATGAGGCGGGAGTTCTTGAGGAACTGGATGAGGACCTGGTAGACAAACTTGTACTGGTTGATGGTCTGCACCATCAGCATCCTCTGCTGCCTCAGCCCCGACAACATGGTGGGAACCTCCACTGGCTGAAGGGGAGGAAGAAGAAAAACACCAAATATGTTAATTAAAAAAAAAAATAAATAAATACATCTGGAAAAGGAACAAAGTGAAAGGGAATCTTTTTAGTTTGTTTAGTATACTATACTGTTGAGCCTCATTACTTCATTAACCTACCCCGTCATGTGCCATTTATTTGCTGACTTAAGAGGATTCACTGAGTGAAATTCTAAACCTGGATTCACTCGTTTTATTTACTTGGGGCAGAAATAGTTAAACAGGTTTTACAAATAAGGCCTATCTTTAAAACCACAGTGATTCCATTTTTCAGTCACACAGTCTGGAGCTTCCTACGATCTGGTTGATTAGAGATGGAATAAAAATCTTTATCTTTATAAAAAACTTGAAGGTCATGTGACGTTTGACGAGCACGTGAGGGAGAGCGGGCAACAGGTTACCGGTGCAGTTCGCCTAACGGCCATGCGGTATCGCTACAAACGCAGTATTTTTGAAAGTTACATATAGCCCCTTTAAGAAGTTTTACTTTTAAAAAAAACGTTTAAAAAAAAAAAAAAAAAAACGTTTTTCCAGAGCCTTAAAATACAGATGTTAGAAAACTGGCAACACCATGGTGCGTTGGGATGGTCTCAGGTTCGGTGGCTGGGAAGTGTTAACCAAAACCACAGAGTGTGAAAACACTTTTGACAAAGCTTGAGACAAATTTACATTTTGGAAAATATTTTTTTTAATTTTATAAACAAAATTACAAGGTGCAAAACACTTTTACGAACCTAACACTGAGAGCGGTCAATTCATTTGATTTGACAGAAAGACTCTGTTAACTGTCTCAGGTGGGTGTCACAAAGCAGACAAACAAAATCATTCAGCCCCCAAAAACTTAGTTTGGCACAGTCTTTCTGCCAAAACAAACTATGACCAAAAGTCAATTCATTTCAGGCCCCTTGTGCAAACCTTGATATGATTTCTGGCACGATTCTATCAGTGTAAATTTGTTTCGGGACTGTTAAAATTATTCAGCCACTTGTAAATTTGTCTCATTAAAATGTTTCGCTTCATGCAAATTTGTTTCTAATATTCAAATTGATTTTGTCCTTGGTAAAAGTGGTTTTCCTTTTGTAATTTTGTTTTATAAAAAGTAAAAATGTTTTCCATAATTCAAATTTGTCTCAAGCATTGTAAAGTGTTTCACAGTTTGTAATCTTGGTTTGTACTTCCAAGTCACCGTACTCAGGTGTTCCCCCAGTTTTCAACATTCAAATCTTTTGTATAACACACTCACTTATCTATGTGACAACACTTTAGATAAATACACTTCAAACACCGTTTTAATTCAACAAAGACAATATTCTTATTTAAAACATTAAGATCATATATTTATGAATGAATATGTTGCGCTGACTGCTACCTTTAAGCCCCCCTGTCACCCACCTCATTGTGCTCCAGGCAGCTGATCATGAGCTCAGTGAGGATGACCACTCCAGTGCGACCCACCCCAGCACTACAGTGCACCACCACAGGGGGGTTGAGGCTCTTTGAGGTGTCCGGCATGGAGTTAGTGTGTCTCCTCACAGACTGGATCTCCTCTAGGTAGGCTACAAGAGAGAAGAAGGAGAATAAGTGGGTGTTTCTTTCAGGCGGAATAAAAAATCAGTTGAACAGGATTTAAAGCTAACAAGTTATCTTATTATAACATATTTTTAGACAAGTCATTTAAGAATTAGGTAGGATTTTTTTTTTTTTTTTAAACTTCTCATATTTGTCCAATAGAAGATGAGGTGGCTAGCTTAATGTAGCTCAAAGACGGGATTCAAAGGAAGAATCAGCTAGTCTGACTTTGTGAAAGGTAAAACCACAAGTTATCCTTTTACATTTCAGTTATTGCACAGGCTAAACAACCGAGATAAACATGTTAATGGAAGTGCTGGTGGGTTGATTTGTTTTTTTTAATGACAGAGTCAGGCATGTGTCTTTGCCTGCTCTTAAGTCTTAATGCTAGGCAGAGCTTTTTACCAGCTGGCTTTAGCTTCATGTTAACTTCAAATACATAAGAGTGTTGGGACTCTTCAGTTCTTACTAACAGTGTGCAAGAGACGTGAGGATTCTGCACAAATATTGAACTATTTCTTGTCAGAATTGTGCGATTTGATACAATATTTAAAATAAAACAAGATACATAACACATCTTTCAATATCATTAAAACAGTCAAACAAATCCAGGGCACATCAAATATGTCAATCAGATTTTGTGGCAGCTGACTATGTAATGTAACAGTAACAGATTATGACAAGAGCAACACAATCCAACTTACAAAGGAATCCCGGGACATATTCAGGACAGCCTTGCTCAGGCCAGTCAGTATACTGCAGGTGCCAAACTGTCCTCTCCTGGCCCGACAGCAGGTGTTTGACCTTTAACCCTGTGGTGGCGTAGCAGCCTGAGTCGGTGCGGAATTTGGTGGTCACCTTGAATTTGCCGTGAGTGGCTGAGTTGTGTTTGGAGCCCAGTTTGGGCCAGTAGCGGTGACTCTTGGACCTGCCGCCCTCCTGGATTGAAAAGAGGTTGATGGTGAAGATGGAAAAAAAGAACAAAGGGGGATTGGGAGAGTGAAAAAGTTACATTTTCACTAACAATTTAACACTCAGTGATATTAAACAAACAAGCTCTCAATGTTGATATTTTTCTCACACACATATATATATATATATACATAGATGCTACCTGTCCACAGCTAGAAATATCCACATCTGTGTGTGCCATGTGAGTACATGTCTGTGTCTATGTGTGAGCGAGTACCTCTTCAGCTGTAACCATGGCGATGACGTTGACCCCCTGCTCCCAAACCATCTGCCAGAAGTCAGCACAGGTGTTGGCCAGCGGGCCCTGGGTGGCAATGTAGTGCCACTCCTCCCCTCTGATCATCACCTGAGAAACGCACAACCATACACACACACACGAGCACACGCACACACACACACACACACACACACACACACACACACACACACACACACACACACGCACACACACACACAAAGAACCAATTGGTTCATGCAGAGATTTTAGTTATTAAAATTCCACAATCAAATACCTAAGCTTGTTTAAACACAAATTTAGCTTACTTAAATACAAAGCCCCACAAAAATTCCCAGGTTAGAATTTGCTGTTCACGTAAATAAACAATTATCTCCTTCGCCACTAGAGGGCAGTATTAACATCATTTTCAACACTAATTATTTTCCCTCATTTGAAAACCAACAAGCCTCTTCTACCGTTCCCTCATTAATAATCAAAGACAACACACCTCAAAGCACTTTAAAAAAAGTCCCATCTTCAACAACCCCCAGACTTCTGACTGCCATTACATCATTTCCCAGCTAATTCCTGAGACCACCTCGTGACTGTAAACACTGCATTAAGAGATGGATGAGGGGAATAAACAAGGCCTTTTGTTCTGCTGCAGCTACCTTAAATGAAGGGAAGGGGAAGTAAGAGGGTTACATGGTGATAGGCAGCGATTCAGTGCCGCTTTGGTGATCGTTCTCACACAGCAGACTGCAATTAGGCAAACACATGAAATGCAAAGTCATGCATACACGCTGTTTGTAAGCATGAATAGAGAGCTAGTGAGAGCAGCTCAGGTTGACTTAAGAGGGTTTGGAGTTTGGACCACATTCTTTGGGAATTCCTCTGCAAGCTTAAAGGGCCAAACAGCCTTCAGCAGCTGCCTTTCTTCCATCCCTCAGAGCTGTACGCTGCTTAGGAAAGACCACAACAAAGGCTAGCAGAGGGCTGAACAATTCAGGTTTTAAGCTTTTTGTTTTTATTCTTGCAGTGTGAAGTGTGTTGCAAAGCATTCTGAGACTGTGGCTTTCATTAAGATTTGCGTATAAACTTAAATGAGATAAAGAATTTACATAGCAAACTCACAGATTGTTAAGTCTGACTCCAGGCTGTCATTGTGACCTAGTTCACATATATATGGACCAGATTCCATATTTTTCTGTTCTTTTTTCTCTGGAACTTTATCTTGGAGGGTCATATAGTTTCTATGTAGTTTCTATATAGTTTATATAGATGTTAAGATTATAGTACTCCGATATTATTAGCTTAAACCCTGCATACATTTCCGATCAGTTGGTTTCTACAAAATCCATCTTGGCCTTTGACAAAATCTGAAATACGAGATTGTAGCAGCTCTAGTTTTCTCTTCACTTGTTAGATATGGTTTAAAAAATGTTCTGATAAATTGAAAGCACTTTAAAGTTGACTTCCCAGCTGCATTGCTGTTTTCCTGCCACCCTATGATCCAGAGCGCAGCCTCAGATCCTCAGGCAGGGTTCAGCCTGGATCAAAATTAAAGGTTTTACTCATATCTGCAACTCCCTGACTGGAGAGGCTCACAATATCATCACTCAAAACTTCTCAAAAAAGCTTTGAATTAAGGCTCTTACTCCTTATTATTACAAATATGATCTCACATTCAACTTCATTTTTGTACTCATGTATTTGCTATTCCTGAGTTTTATTTCTCCACATAAAGGTGATATATAGAATATGTCTTTCCATATATTCTTAGTTTAAAATTTCCTTTATAGATCAAGTTTATTCTTGTAAAATTATGTTTGTTTTCTTAGTGTTTAAAATTTGCAACACAAAAAAAACTTTTAAAGTTTTGCTTCAGTTACCAAAATAATCTGTATTATACAGAAATGGGCACTTTGGTCATCCTAAAAGTTCCTTTTAAAATAAAAAAATGATTTTTTTATTCCAGCCAATGTTGCATTTTTTTGATGAAGCCTGCATAAGACAGCCAGGAAATGGGGGAAGCGATAGTGTGTATGACATGCAGCAAAGGGCCGAGGCTTTCTGTCCTACCAGGGGCCGATTCTAAGAAGTAACTCGGTCTTGGTACATCTGGTACACACTGTTCAAGTTGAGCTACCAGGAAGCCCTGACAATTGTAAACCTGTAACATTATACCCTTGACCCCTTGTGCACACCTTGATATGAGAGGCGTTGATGTAGCCCGTGTTGTTCTCCTTGTTTGGTACGAGCTCGACACGATTCTCTTCGTACGGAATGACGTCGCGGAAACGGTTGCGCTCAGTGTTTTCAGGCAGAGTCGCTGTGGTGAGAACACAATCCGTCCTTTTCTTGGGAACTTGCTCGTACTCAGTGAAGACCCGCTCCTCTTCCAGTTTCAACTCCAAGGTCTTGCACTGCAGAGACAGAGAGACAAAGAAAGAGAAAGGGCTGTTTGTCATTGAACGCCAAGCAACACATCACTCAGAGGTTCCTCTTTCACTCTCAAAGGGGGATTTTTTTTTTCATTTACATTCCACCAAACCTCAGACTATTCAGACCGGGAGAATCCAAATATATCATTATAACAAAAATCCACATCTCTTAACTCTCATTATCACTCACTCTGAGTAACCATTGAAGTACCTACAAGGAATCAACATAGCTGTAAAAGAGCAAAATGTACAGCTGTGGTATTCATCCATGTTTATTAGGCCAGTCATGTTTGAGAGGGCAGCATCTTTCTCTCCTCCTCTCTCTCTCTCTCTCTCGCTCTCTTTCTGTGGGGCTTGCTCGCTCTCTCTCGGGTCACATTCTTAACATACCAATGGGCCTAGAGGCGATAAGCACCACCATGCCACGCGTTCCACAGCCCACTTAGTGCTTGCCCCCGTTAGCTTAGCAACGGGTCGGGACAAAGGCTGGGTTTCACACTTCCACATTCAAAAAGGAGCAGACAGACAGTACTGGTGAAATGCAATGCATCAAAAAAGAGGGATCATTAGAGACTGTTTTTTTAAGTTTTACAGTGACTTATCTTCAGCCAGACTTTCTTGTTACAGCTGAGACACCTGTCAGTAAAAAGAATCCACCTTGATTCTTCAATCAATATTATCAAAAGGTTTTGAAGGTATTTAAAATCTATAATTGAATGAAAATATGTCATTGAGAATACCAGCGTTTGTATGATTGTAGGATTAACATACTTCCAGTCTCCACACCATTTGTTCACATTGCTTTGAAGCAATTGGACAAACAATGCTCCAATGATTTTATGCCATAAAAATGTACATGAAGAAAGATTGATTGTCTACTCTAGTCCTGAAAGATACAACAGACAAAGACCCTCTCATTCACCTCAGATTTTAAGGTCAAATATCAATCAGTTGCACATGCTGTTTAACTGGAAAAACAAGGAAAAATTGACATTTGCTCTAACTCAAAATTCTTTTTAAACACCGTTTAAAAAAAATTATATCCAAAAACCTCATGCAACTAGACCCATATAAGCAAAAGTGGGCATCTTACCCTTTCATCAGTCGCAGCCTTGGCAGCATCCTCTGCAGGACTCTCTGGGACAGGCATGCGGACCACGTAGAGGCCGTTGAGGGTGGCCATCATCAGCGGCCCCTTAATGGAGTCCACCGACATCTTCTGTCGTTCCAGCGTCTTTAGGAAAGAGGAAAATCCTGGAATCATTGATACAGGTACGGATAGCACTTATACGACTGACTGACCTGCAACGCCTTCAAAACACTGAGCCTGCACATATGTGTGTTGAGGTGGGTGTGGAGACATTGGCGTGCAGTTCAGTGTATGTGTGAATGAGCTGTTTGTGAATGATTTTGTTTGTGTGTAAGAGTTTGCGTGTGTGCGTGCGTGTGTGCGTGTGTGTGTGTGTGCATGTGTGTCCAGCTTGTAGGACAAACCTGGCTGTACCAATCCTCCTGCGGACTTGCAGCTCCTTATCCGTCTCACTTCGCTCTCAAATTATTTTGTTGCTTTCATCCTCATCTTGTCCTTCCTCAAATATTTTTCATTCTCTCAGTCCTTTGTGTATTCCCACCTACCTCTTTGGGCTCCTTCTCCTCACAGAACACACACTCCCTCTGTCTTTTTTTTCCCCCTCTCTAGCCAAACTCTGACCCACATTGAACAGTCCCTCCTTCCTCCACGGATTACCTCTCCTAATCTGATGCTATTAAGCCTCCAGGACAACTCCACCCTTCACCTCCACACCTCCTTTATCCCCCGTCTGACAGTCAAAACAACAGCTTGGGGTGGCCTCTAGGTATGAGATAAACCAGCTGGTATAAATGAGGGATAACAGCTTTCGAGTTTGGGATGGAAGTAACTCAAATATGTTTTCAATATTAGCCACACCAGTTCGTTTCTCAAGAGAGAGGTTTACTGCAACAAAGTCAGGCTATTACATTATTTAACTTTGCCTGGACTCTGTCCAACGTTTTCACCTTAGAACGCTAACATACACAACAACACCCAACCAATAGAGTAATCTGAGGGACTTATAATGGTTTTAGCTGCCTGGTGGGATTCAGAGCCTAGTGCTACCCTCTCAGGTACTGAACCCCGGATTAGCCATGAAACTAGCTAGCAAACAACAGACTGACTGTAAACAAAACAACATGGTAGAGTTCTGCTCAGTATAGGATGATGTTCTGCATTTGTGATGGATGACTTGAAAATATCACAAATATACATTATAGCATGATCAAGCCAGTTAATACTTAATTCAAATACTGATTAGAGAATGCAGTATTTTAGTTGTATGGGCCATAACTTGTTGATTACTTTACTTTATTGGAGTGAAGTTAGACATTTTGAAAATAAATTACGACCACACTTCCCGAGATATAGTTACCATCTTATAATCCCCTTTACAACACAAAGATAACTTTATTGATTACAAAATATACAATTCAATTATCCTCACGTCTGACCCTGGACTATCTCACACTAAAAAAACTGTAACCTCCTCCATTATTCATTATTTATTTAAACTGTGCAATATGATAATAATATGTCCATCAATACAAAATGTAATCTCATATAAACTGTGCAATAGTCTTACAAATGTGTATATAGTCCACATTGTCCTCACTCTCTGCGCTTTCCTAAAGCACAACTTATTTCTTATTGCTTGATATTTTAATCTAATTACTGTTTTATGAATATTTGATTGTATATAACTATATTTCTGCTGCTTGTGTTTTAGTGCAACTGCAACGACCGAATTTCCCTCCGGGGTTAATAAAGTATTTCTGATTCTGATTCAAAATAATTGAAGAAATAGAAAAGGAGCACACCCTCACATCTGTTAAACATGAATGTTTACAGATTTTAGTTGATATATGTCTGCCGGTATTGCTCTAAATTATTTTAGCACTAATAAGGAGAGGGTTTTGTTTTTATATATTTCTGTAAAACCAAGTACATAATAAGGGGATGATGACCTTTTATGCTGTTATTATTTTTTTGCATCTAGAGGAAACATAAACCATAACATCCCCATCAAATAGAATAGATTTCAGAGTGATTGTCTTACCCTCTGAGCGATCTCCCTCTCCACTATGCTGTCCTCTAAGGAGAACATCTCTGACACTGGCCTCTCTTTGACTGGCTCCTTCCTCACCCTCTCCTTCACACTGGTCAGGTCCGGTTCTGAAATGGAAGGGCCCAAAACGGCTCCGTTCACTCCACCCTGGTCCCCTCGGGTCAGTGTCCCACCAGCACCTGCACCACCAACACCACTACTTCCAGGCCCGCCACCTCCTGAGCTCTGCCCAGCTTTGAGCGCTCGTCCCAGAGCTTGGCTTGGGTCCATTGCTCCCTGGTTGCTGCTCTGCTGTCCTTGGTTGTGGTTGTGGTGGTGGGCGTGGTTGTGAGGATGGGTGCGGATTTGGGTGTTACTAGGAGGTCTAGGTGGACCAGGGTACTCAGGAGGGGGTTTGTTGGGCAGCTTGGCCAGGGCAGCCTGAAGCTGAGCACTGATACTGATGTCCTCATTGAGATTCGGGATTTGAACGTCCAATTCGGGCCGCTCCTCTTCCTCCTCCTCCTCCTCCTCACTCTCACTGCTGTGTATGAGCATGGTAGCATTGGAGAGAGTCTTTTGATGCTGGTAGGCCACTGAGGCAGATGGTGATACAGAAGCCTCAGGGGCTTTCTGTGGAGGCATCTGGATGGGCAGCTCCTGGGTTTGCTGAGGTGGAGGCTGAGGAGTTTGGGGCTGAGGCTGAGAAACAGATTGAGGCTGAGGGGGCATCACATGCTCTCTAAGAGTGTTCCTCCGATGAAGTGGTGGGTTCATCCCCTTCATCACTATGCCCTCCATCCCTCCACCTCCCCTCATGCTGCTGATCACCTCCATGCTGTGTCTCTTCCCTAGGGTGGAGCGATGCTTGGCAGCTGCAGTTAGCGGTTCACTCACCTCCTGTAGAGACTGGTGCACTACGGCTGAGCTGTCCGGCTGAAAAGTCTTCACAGACAGCTGCACCATGCGGGTCACCAGCTCTGGACTGCTGCCCCCAATGCAGCGGTGACGGTGGCTGGCAAGGTCAGGGGTGCTGGTGGCTGGGCGGAAAGAGTTAGAAGGGTAAGGTGGAGGTGGCCGGGACATGTGGTTTCTCAGCATGTTAGCTGTAGCTGCATAGCTTCCGGCGTTGGTCCCCTGCTGTTTGGTATTAGCCAGCTCGGGGGTGCTGACAGTGTGAGAGATGGAGTTTCCAACACCTCCAACTACGCCACTGCCTCCCCCTCCATTAACGCAGGGGGAGTGACAGGGGCCCTGGCTGCTGGCAGGTCCTCCCTGATGGGGGCCATGAGACACTGGTTTACTGTAGCTGATCTGCAAGGTGAACATACACAAAAAAACGGTGTGAGGTGTAGTAAAGCGTAAGAATTTAAAAGAAAGAATCAAAGACAGAGCATCCACCTATACCTGTGGTGTGTATGGCCCGGGGCTGGGCCCCAGGCCATGATAAGGGCCCCTCTCCCTCATCTCTGGCTGGCTGTAGACCAGAGCCTCAGGCTGGCGGTACGCACACGCATTACTGATGTTCAGGCTGCGCAGAGATTGGCTGTGGAGGTCATGGTGAGCAGGGAGCATGCGCCGCTTCTGCCGCATGACGGCATCGTACTCAGGCGTGGGCCGGTAGGACGGAGCGATTATGGCGCTGTGGCGGTGGCTGGGGATGTAGTCTGGTCGCATGAGCTCACTGCCAGGGATGCTGAGGTTTGAAGACATGGGGGATGGCGGTACAAAAGTCTGAGAATGATTGAGGGAGCTCAGGCTGGGGCTGCTGTACATGCTGCCGTTTGGCACGGTGCCATTTCTGAAGGGAAAGTCCATATGGCAGTGGTCCAGACTGGTTTCTGATTTGTAGTAGGGGTCGTCATGTAAGATACTGTCTACAGATGGAAGAAAAAAAATAAAAAATTACAGAGGAGAGAAGATCATTTTTATCAAGATGTTTTTTGTTACATATATTTTTGACTCATCTCTAACAAGCAGTATGCAGTGGATATCAGATGACGATGATACCTAGAGTTGTTTCAGTACAAATACCAGTATCAGTATCGCCCTAAAATACTATACTGGGAATGAGAAAGTTGGCCAATCAATGAACAGAACTGATAACATATTTTTTTGCGCACCTATAAAATCGAACAGGTTTTGGGTAAATTGTCTTGGGGTGATAAACAAAAACACTGCAGCGCTAGAAGAGAGTTAAGGTTAGACAAAACCGGGTTAGGGTTAGGTGTAAGGGTTAGTGATTGCATGTGATGGATGAGTTTCTTTTTATTCCTGCTGAAAGTGGAGAGTAAAATCAGTATTGTAACATCTTGAGATGTGATGAAGGCTCTCTGAAAAAGTGTGCTGGGGAGTACACAGCTGCTCTACCCAGATTAAAAGACTGTAAGGACATTGAGTGTGCTGACTTTTCTACTTTGTGTAACATCTTGAGATGTAGCCAGGGAAAGCGTTTTGCCCTGATCAGAAAATGTTCGAGCTGACAAAAAAAGACACAAAACAAAGAAGGAACATATATTGTATGAAAGCAGGATGAACATGGACCATTTACTCAAAGCATCAAGTAGGAACACAATTTTCTTTAAAGCCAGATAACGTGATTATTTGAAGTGAAGGAGACCAAACTATTGGCCACAATTGTACTTAAGTTGTTCCTAGTGTTTTCAAGTGTTTAGGTTCTATTTTCTTAGCTGTTAAGAGCATTGAGCAAAAGGTAGAACTTGCAACACCCTCAAGGTGTAAGCAATCTTAACTGATATTTTTTGGGTGCATTGCATTTAACCCCCCCGGAAAAAAAAAAGTCCCCTCACTGGTAGTTCTTAGGACAAAACTGATTTGGAAAAACTTCTTCCCACCGTGTTGAAGGCAACTGTGGTATGCATACTATTCCTCTTTGTTTCTCACACAGAGGATTCTCTCGTGTGAAACTATCTCAAGCCCACAAGCAGACATACACACATAATCTCCATCCACACAATCCAAGTGTGAAGCCTGAGGTCACACGACAGAATGATCTCCCACCCACGCACAGCAGCACACCCTGAATGTTTTTCCACTCGCTCTGTTTTTCTGTGAGTCAAGCTTTCGGATTATAAGGCCGACCGAGTGTGTGAACGTGTCAATGAAAGAGTGGAGCACAAATGAGGTCACCACTCTGCACCCCAAACGTTGGGCTCTAATTGGCTGGGAGATCGTTAAAAGTACAAATGGGGTGTGAGTCACACGCCTGATGGGAAAGACACAATTAGCTCCATTCAAAATCTTCTGTCACACTGTGGTCAAAAGAGTGAACCAAGGGGGTTGGAACAACTTTAAAAGTGTGTGTTTGTGTGCAAGTGTGTATAGTTCTTTAACACGTACCTTGAGAGCTCTGTGTGTCCTGATAATGCTCTCCATACTGGGAATGCATTGACTGGAAGTTACAGGACTGTGGACGCGGCTGCAACACATTTAATACAACAAACTTGAGAGGATGCAATACAGTTTTTCCTTATAAATATACTTTATCATGATCTATTACGTGGCCAGTCTTTAGTTGAACAATAAACTGCACATGTCCTCAATATTTTCTATGCTTTAAGATTTCAAAGTAAGCTACTTTCTTTCTGTTTTACACAACTGGTGACTCTGACCTACTCAGATTTACTCTAGTGCCCCAGAGTTGTCAACCGCCAATGCCTGCGGCTCTCCACACAGACATCTGGGTGAATTTCGAGCACTCTGGTGGACCGACTGTACAGCTATTGTGCCACATTTAGCCGAGCCATTGTCTGGCCAGCAGGGAGGGAGACGCACAAATCACTGCCTTCATTGTTGCACCGGAAATCAGTTCCAAGCAACACCCTTGCAAACTTTCCAACAACACCCACTGCACCACCAACGCGCGTTAAAACCAAAGGCTCCATGGCACAATTAAGAGCTGCCCTGAGTGGGAGAGCAAGGTCAAATCTCTAACCACGGCCATTTCTGTCTTCCTCCCAAATTCTCCATCTGTGTCCTGGCTAATGGTGTCATTTATACAGGCCAGAGGCAATAATACACAGGCCTCTGTCAAACCACAGAGGAAAAACAAGTCTCAGTGAACTTTATCAAAGCAAGACAATTCTTCTGACGTTACCAAAGATAGACGGTGGGTCCAGGTGGGTCTCCTCCTGATTGGTGCAGGTGAATGAGTGGGCCTAAAGAGAAACAAACACATGGGCATTGGAAAAAAATTGAAACAACTAAAAATACCAAAACACTCTTTCACAATTAAAAGGTTATTGTTACTGAGTTTATCTTGCTCTTAATTGTTTTCCTCAACCTTCAAAAGGTTGGTGCACTTCATTTGAGAAAGTAAATGAGAGATAAAACTGGATATAAAATCGGCCTTCAGCCGTGCCGTCTGATGGCCTCGACACTCACTCTGCACAGATCTTGTTCTGTTTGTAGAATTTGTGTCTGGCCGTGAAAAGGCGAGCGATGTACTTGGCCATTTCCATATCCTCCTGCAAAAACAAAAACAGCCGTAGTATTTATAGAAAATCAAGACCAACATTGCCTCGGTATTTGTCTCTTTGCAAGGATATCTGGTAACATTTCTGTTTTTAACTTCCCACTAGAGAACCTTGCGTTAAGCATGTGTGTGTACTGTTTGTGCTGAGGCCCGCCTGCAGACACAACACTCACTGTGTGAAAAATGATGGTGTCGTCTCGGCTTGTTATCTCCACTGTGATGGCTGACTTGTTGTGTGCTATGGTGCCAATGTCCTTCCACCTGTAAAAAACATGGAAACACACAAAAATGTGTGAAATGATTTATATTTTTCCCACACATAGTTCATAATATTTACTTGCTGATTCATGTATTTGTATAAACTGTACTTCCCATGAGCAGATGGTTTCATACAGGCTAAAAAAAACAGACAAATAAGGGTTGGGACTTACTTGTGGAGCATGATGGATCTACCATTTCTGTGTTTGACAAACACTCCAATGAAGGACACGCCAATGAAAATATCATTTGTGTAGTTGTCCTGCAGCAGAAGAAAGAATTTAATAAGAAAAGTCCTTTCACAATAAAATACATATGCAACTTTTTAGTGCGTTTGTGTTGCAGTGTTTCCTACCTTTGCAGCGAAGCTCTCCTGGCCAAAGCCGTCCAGTTTCTCCACCTCCTTGATGTACAGCAACTCTGCTTCAGCAGTCTGCATTCGACTGGAAAGTACAGACACATATAGTACCAGGTACAAGGAATTTCATTTTCTCTCCCTCTCTCTTTCACATGTTCACACAAGTGCAATCAGAATAAAATAAAGTTAACAGTACCAATGACTCTTGTGCTCTTCAGCAACTTTCTGGGTCCACTCTTCCAGCACCTCGTCTCCATTTGACCAGTTCTGAGAGACAAAAAAAGAAAATAGAAGTTAAAAAATGTGATGGAGGATTAATGATGATGTTAACATGATGTAAAGGTGAAATGTAAAGACTTTCATGGGAAAGAAAACCCGAATCGAGTAAACCATCTCCTCCTCCTTTTTCCAACATCCAATCAAATGTCAGCATCTAAATTCTAGTCAGTGCCTTAGCAACAACCAGTGTACCAAGGAAAAAATGTAATATCCACTCCACTACAACTTTATCCTTCCAGTGCCAATTCTCGCTTATTATTTCTCCATTTTATGCCTGTCAATCAGTTATGCAGAGCGATGAGGTACCACAGGTGAGTTCAGGCAGAACACAGAGACACGCAAACATGTTCAAACAGTCAAAATTTGAGGACTTACCACCGGGAAGAGCACGTACTCCCTGAGAAAGTCCTGAGACATAAACTGGGTAAAGTCTCCAAAGTCAGCTGAAACACACAAAAGACATACGTTTGTAATAAAATAAAATAAAGTAAACCAAAATTGTTATGTTTCTTTTGGTGTGTTGACTTTCATTCTAAGACTTTGAAACCAAAGTTTGCATGTCATCCCCACTCTCTCTCTCCCCGATTTCAGATTCTATTCACTGTCCTGTCCGTCTAATAAAAGCCATGAAGCCCAAAGTAAATAAATAAAATAACTCTCCAGGTGTTGTGAGAAACCAGAAAATTCCACAATTCTCCAATTCACTTAGCAGACACTTTTATCCAAAGCGACATACATCAGAGAGTAAGTACAACACAAGCAAGGATATAGAAAAAAGGGGAACAATGTCAGTAAGAGCAAACGATCAGCTTTGAGTCCGATTGGACACACAGGTGCTGACAGGAAGTGACCAGAGGCAAAGCACAACATTGAGGGCAGTTCTTAAGAGCTCTAATCAGTATAGAAACCATCTTATAAATCATCGTTATCAAACAAAAATCATCGTCATTACCATCATCATCATCAATAATATGGAGACCATCATCATTAAGTTAGCAGGTATTTGTGAAAGAGCTGGGTCTTTATATATGTTGTTGAAATAAAACATATCTGTTGCCCTTCATCTAAAAGTTTTTTGTCTACTTAGCTCATCGATATGGCAAAAACATGCAAAAACAAATTAATAAATAAAACTCTCCAGTTATTAAAACAGCCAAGGGTATTTTCCAATTAGAAAGTCCCTTTGCATTTTTTCCAAGAGCCAACAGTAAATAATAATAACAACACCTTTACCTTGTTCTACGTATGATATTTTTGATCTAGAAGGTTTTTGACTTTTAAATTGTAAAGTATGAAATCTACAACTTCACATGAGCTACATGTTGCTTGGCTTATAACATTACTAGGAATGACAGATGCACTGGTGCCATATTTGAGTGGCATAGAATTAATTTGATTTTTTTCCGCTAATAGTTGAATAATTGTATTTAGAGTAGCCAGTGACTACTTTATAGCTTAATTAGCAAGGAGTAGCTAACTGTTTAATTGTTTCCTGATTATTTATTTTTTTCCATTCACGTTACCAGCAAGCTCCCAAACAGGTCACGATTCTGCACCTTACTTTTAAAAGTCTAGAGAGAGAAAATGTTGACAGTACACCTGTAATATCCCCACCTGCACACCACCTTCACCGCATCCTCAGGTCTCCAGAGAGATTTAGCAAACACGTGCTAAGTACTGTTCTTTTGTCTCTCCCACAAAAGGAAGTTACTGAAGCAAAGGATTCTTGCCTCCCGAAAGATAAAAGTCTTCCTGGTGCTAACCTTGGAACTAGTGATAAGCTAACAGTCTGTTTACATTCCCCCTGAGACACAGACAGCACCCAGAACAAGACAGAGGAGATGGAGTAAGTTTGTGTGTGTGTGTATAATGCGTGTGTGTGTGTGTGTGTGTGTGTGTGTGTGTGTGTGTGTGTTAAGACTGATACCATAGGAACTCAAGTGGACTGGGCTCTGCCAGTGGTATGCAGCCATATTAGGAAGTAAAGTCAAGATGACCCTAGAAAGTGTGAGTTTGTGCTCAGTCTTTCTCTCTTGTAGCGCCTGTCTCCGTCTAGTAGAATATTCACAGGGATGTTTGTCATGCACGTGTGTGTGTGTGTGTGTGTGTGTGTGTGTGTGTGTGTGTGTGTGTGTGTGTGTGTGTGTGTGTGTGTGTGTGTATCTTACCTTGTACTGCTAGGCCAGCTAGTCTGATGCCCTGTTCAACTGTGCAGTGGAGACGTCCATCCAACACTTCCTTCTTTACCTGCAGGTAATACTGATACCTTGAAGTAAAGAAGCAAAGAGGAACAGAAAAACAAAGAAAGAAAGCAGAAAGAAAGCATTATTGGAATGAGACACTTTTTAGTGTGAGATGCTACACTGGGGGCCCCCAAAAACATGCACTTGTTTTGCACTGCTAGCTTGCAGGCTGTAGGCAAGGTTATATCTTCCGTTACGTTCTATATTAGCACACATTAATCACTACTGATTAGCATGCTGATGTCACAGTCGCTTTTGAACCAATGTAGCGATGTGGCTAAATACAGGCCTGCTAGCATGGCTGTTAACGCTGGGTGTTACTACAGTATATAGCTTAATCTGTAAAGATTTTCAAAACTCGCCAAAACTTGGTTGGTTGGTGGTTAAAATCATTTTCCAGCTAGCCATACTGTCTCTGAACACCAATTACATGAAAGTTGGAAAACATACTTGTTCCAGTTCAACGCCGTTCTCCAAAAAGACTAGAAGAGCTGAGCTCATGGCGTTTCATATTAGCAACTAAAGGATTGCAAAACATCCATTGAGAAACCACAAAGACTTATTCTTCTGCTTCTGGTTTGTGCAACAGAAAGTGTGCGTCAGGACAGTACTGGCAACAGCATTAGCCGGATAAAAAAATACCAGAGAAGCCTGTTGCAGAATCCTAGAGAGGAATGAGTGAATCACCTCTATTTGAAATACCACTGACTCACTCCTGACTAAAGAGGAATCCCAAATGTATACCAGTAAAGGAATAATATCGTTCACTGTTTTGTACATTTTTGACTAACACGATGCACGCTACATGGAGCTAACACAAAAAAAAGAACTGAGTTAAATATTGTCGGCCCAGGCCCACCAGCTGGATGAAAGCAGAACATTGCAATTGCAGTGTGAAATTGAGGCAAACTCAGCAAACTGCGGTTTTGGGCTGTGCTGGTTTTGCCAAACATAAGCTGATATGATGACACAGTTCAGATTGTTTATCCAACTTGTAGCTTTCACAAAACGTGGTAAAAGCCCCAAAACCAAGAGGCTAATATACTGAAATACTCAGCTCCTCAAATTTGTCCACTTTTTGTCTACTTTTGTCCACTTTTAGCTTCGCTCCGACTGGATGTTTGTCTTCTGAAGAATGGAGTGGCCACACAGGGGGAAAGAGAGAAACTGTCAGGGTGACCAGACTCAACTGCACAAAAACCTCGCGCACCGTTTCCTGTTTGTTGCTATGGCGACTGTGGACTAAGTCTTTCCAATGTGAGGTTTGTGAGACACCTTTTCTGTATTGCAAACACACACTTACACACTTATACACAGTCAGAGAGACCTTTGTGTACTCTGGCATCCTCTCCAAGCTCTATGGGAAACCACTGAGCTATACATGCTTAGTCATTCACACAGATTTTTTTCTCTCTCATGCGACACACATCCTTTACACTTTATTCCTCAATTGTCTTTTATTTTTTTTCATCTCTGCACTAAAAGCAGCCCTCCTTTATCTCCCCACATATTTCATGCTCATACTCTTCCTCAAATCTCTCCCCACTTCTCCTTCTATTCTTTTTTGAGCTCCACTCAGCATACTCCAGGGTCTATAATCTGACCCCGCCCTCCTCCCTCACCCTGTCATTACACCCGTTGGCTAAGCTGCCATTCCGTTCCCGTGGCAACCCTCTAATTAGCCAACCCCAACCGCCGTGGCTGCAGCAAGGGGGAGGAGCTAGATGCGGTCTGGAGGGGAGGAGCCTCACTGAACACAAAACCCTTCAAATGATTGTGGACTTTGTTTTTACAAACTCACCATGTTTTCCCAATGCTCTCTCTGTATGCGGTCTGGGGAAATGTTGTGGTTGACACTGATTGGTGCTCATTCTGATTTTAATGGTCACAACATGATCATGTTTATACATACGAGAGGCCAGCGGAGGAGAGGCAGATGATATAATGTTGGATACCAGGAACAAGTGAAAGCGGGACGGTGAATGTCCGTAAAAAGAAGTCTCAGAGTGTTCTTAATTGGAGAGCCACAGCAAAACAAAACAGCCTATAGAACCATGGTTCTCAACCTTTCAGGCTCCTGACCCTTAAAAAAACTTGTCTAGAGGTTAAAAATGTGCACACCTTGAATACATCTATAGGTTGTTACTTGGTTATAACTAAATGAACACACATTTTTGTGTAGTAGAACAGATAGTATGGAGCAATGTGAATGTAAATATTCAGATAGGATATGTTGTTAAGACACACTTCTGAATAGACCCTACATTGCTTCATAAGTTGAATTTCAAGATACACTTTACTTAATCTTAAATTGGGCATGTTGAGGGGTTCAAATTGTTACCAGCCTTAGATTTTAGTTTGTTTTAAAGTGATGGATATTTATTCAAACTAAAGCATTTTTTCAAGCTTTTGGCTGCTTTATTTTTCCTTTTATCTGCATTAACGGCGATTATAACAAAAATATATTTTTGAAAGGCCTGTGATGTTGGATGTCTATATCAGCCACATATTCAACATTTCTGTTGGGCAGTAAAAGCAAACACATAAACGTATGGGGAGGATTGATGATCAAGTTTATGTTGACAAATATAAATGAAACAATGTTATTTATGTATTTTCTTCCTCATATTGGCTCATTTCAGGCATGTTTGTTCAGTTTGGTTATAATTTAGCCACTGAAAACACAAATCTTCAACTTGTTGCATGTTGAAATTGTCACGTAATAGACATTTATCATCATTGTCGATAAATTAGTGCTGTTAAGGGATTTAAGTTGGTATCAAAGTGGTAAATGGTCCAGTCCATACACCTGCATCAGCACATAATTAAGTTCAGATTAAGTCCAATGACAAATTATACAGGCCCTGAGTAATGCATGAGGCTAAAAAACAATATGATAGCTGTCTGGAAATTTTGAAAAAAAGAATCCTGTCCAGTCTTAATGCTGCATAATTAGGATTTTAATGACAGTAAGATATACAACCATTCAATAACTACTTCAAAATTCATATTTCATCTGACCCTAAGCTGAAACTTATCATAAGATGTTCAGTTACAGCTAATCTTAACTTAATGTAAAAGTGTTTTCCATCTTGTTGAAAGGTTATTAAGTTAGTTGGTTAAAAGTCACCATTGAATACTACATTAAAGCCTGCTCACAAAGGACATGTCCACAAAGACGTCATTTAGGTGGCACACATCTGGCACATATGTCATTATGACATCATTCTGCTATATTAACAGGTGAGCACACATACACAGACGTGAGGTAGATGTTTCCTCACAGGGTGACTTGTGACTTCCAGCATGGCGGAGTGAGTGCTCTGCTGGAACTCCAGGCAGCCTCACAGACACAAAGAGCCTTTCATATGCCCACGCATGTTCAAACCCCGCTTAAGACATGCTGCCAGATGTCCAAGTGGCCTGGACATCATGTCTGTGAGCATATGTGAAGCATGCATGCATGCCTGTGTGTGTGTGTGTGTGTGTGTGTGTGTGTGTGTGTGTATGTGTATGTGTGTGTGTGTGTGTGTGTGTGTGTGTGTGTGTGTGTGTGTATGTGTATGTGTATGTGTATGTGTGAGTGTGTGTGTGTGTGTGTGTGTGTGTGTGTGTGTGTGTGTGTGTGTGTGTGTGTACATATGTTTCCAACCCTTCCCCTTCTGCAGTGGTGTGACCCCAACCACCCCCGCAACCCTGGATGAGTCCAGGCAGCGTGTGCGGGGCAAAGGATTTTCACTTTGAAATGTGTTGAATCAGTGTGTGTGTGTGTGTGTGTGTGTGTGTGTGTGTGTGTGTGTGTGTGTGTGTGTGTGTGTGTGTGTGTGTGTGTGTGTGTGTGTGTGTGTGTGTGTGTCTTTAAGCAACAACTAGCTGAACAAAGCTAAGATTTCAAGGCTGTTGTTGCCGTTAGCCTTGGGGGGCTGCTGAGACCAGCTGGCCTTTATCCAGTCAACAGCTCTCTGTTTAGGTACTTCACTTTCTCTCTCTGGGCTGCTTTGCCCCCCATTTATATCAGAGAGGAAGACGACTACAACCGCACACACCTTCTTCAAGATGTTTGTGTGTTCAAAAAAAAAATGTTTCACTGCAAAGACAGGATCTTTAGACTGGGAAACGTATTACAGGAAGTTAAACTGGGGAAATAGTGAGTAATATCAAATCGGTGGTGGTATACAGCGGCACAGTTCAAATGTCTCAAGATGATACACCCAAACACATATACACTACAAAGACATGACTATTAGACATTCTCTCCAACTGTTAGAAGATGTAGTCCCCCCTAACACAGTTAATGTTAGACATTAATGTGAAAAAAGGCATGACTCTTATTTACAGGTTAACATTCTCAAATTAAAAGTCGCATTCATGCTAAATATTCACATTTCAGATTCTGTCACGATTTCAAAACTCTTCCTTCAACTCTAAATGCAAGCTGCATCTCAGAAAAATTCTTCAACAGAAAAATAATAGGTATCATACCATAAAAGTACTTTTTCATGCAAGTTATGTCAAATTATCTTTTTATATACAGTATGTATATTTATTTTTCACTATTTTGACACAACGTCCTTTGCACAGTGATATGAAGACTGGACAACTTAATATGTTGTTCTGTATCTTCAAGGCAACAATCCTCTAAACAGTGTTTTAAAAGAACAGACTATGCACTATAGACTGCCTATGAATAAAACGCTTACCATTTAAAATCACAAAGTTATGACAAAGTAGTATTTCCCAGGTGTATGAATACTACATGTCAAGAAGTTTGTAGAGGCTGCTGCAGTATAATAAAAAGAAAATGTGTGTAAATCTAAGGTATTTCATTCGTGTGAAGCCGCTACAAAACCGTCATCTACAGAATTCCTTTTTAATAGCTTCAACATTGTAGGTCATTCGCAAAGATATTTGTTTAAAAAGAACACAGGGCATGTGTGGAGGTGAACAGACATTAAAGAAACATCCTTCAGAGCTCAAATAATTTTTGAGAAAATATTTGAGGAACAGGATCAGATGTGTTTTGCTGAAGAACTACATACTGTAGTGTCTACATGGGCTCCAACTTTATTGAATTAGCCATGTAATTGCTTTTTAATTGGATTATTGGTGTGAGTATGTAGCCTGTATGCACGCACACATGCACACACATACACACAGTTTCGTCCCTTGCGCTGGGTAATTTTCACAGCTGCGTGAAGGGAGGGAAGGAGAAACAGATGAATGGATGGACAGGAAGAAAGGGAGATCTAGTTTCAGGTTTCACATCAGTCAAACACTGAACTTCAAAGACATACATTGGTTTTACTCAGAGGAGACAGTTTGTCTTTCTGGTTTCTTGGCAACAAGTTCCAATTATTTGATTTCCGAAAATAAAATGATCCGCTAGTTTAATAAGCTCTTTAAATCAGTTTTTGTCATGTATCAAGATATTGATCTACTTACACTTTGATGTACTGTAAGCAAAAAATTAGGATCTGATCATTCATTTCCAAAAAGGGTTTTGTGACCACGATGTACTAAAAACAAATCCATTCAATCCTTCTCTGTTTTTACCCTTAATGTTTGGACCTATATATATATATATATATGTATAGGTTTGCGCAAAAAAAAAAACATGCAAACAGTGAGCTAGAGCCATATAAATAACAAGGTGAAACCAAAAGTCAAGCCTCGGTGGCAAACTTTGACTTTTTCCTACATGTCTCCCTGTTCTTTTCCCTGAGTTCAGCTCTTCTGCTCTTCTTCAGACCGGGTGCGTAGAAAATGCAAAGATCTGCATCAATGGACCTGACCCTAAACAATCTCCAGTCAATAAATTATCTATGTTTCAAAAGACGGCTGACTGGCAGAGATCTAAAAGCAGAGTAGAGACTGTCTAAGAACACAACATACTTTGATAAGGCCTGGGTTGTAAAAGAAAATGTGTTTGAACTTCATCGTAAAAGTTGTGAGGAGAGTTCTCAACTTGATTTGTAGAAGAAAGGGAAGGGGCTTTCAGAAAAGCTCGCCTCAGGGCGCGTGTATGTTCTTACAATGTGGTGTATTGTGACTAACTCCTCTGACAGGGCTGCAGCTGGCTTCTGAGAGGATTCCTGGGGGAGTGTGCGAGGTGTGCGAGGTGAGAGAGTGTGACTGTGTGTGCGTGTTTTGTAAACCAGACATCCCCCCTCACCACCCACCTCCCCTTTACCCCCAGCACTTCTGCTGGGAGGAATGTGTGGTCCGCCTCCTACGCTGGACGGTTGTGCCAACATTCCTGACTGACAGAGAAGGAGAAAGAGGGAGAGAGAGAAAAAGGAGGATGAAGAGGACCAGGAGAAGGAGATTAAAAATTTAGGGACCAGATAGATGAAGAGATTTACTCTTGATAAAAAAGAAGTTGGGTTGACACTTTGTACAGGGATGTTAGAAAAATAATGGGGGCTTGAGAAAAAGAGGTGACCATTGTTCCGTAAATTGCCCCTAAGGCCCCATCATAACCCCTTCAACTCTATAACCCCTGTATAAACACACACACACACACACTTACACTGACACACACAAACTAAAAGCCTGCAGGGGTTTCCTGGAAAACCATCCCTCTACCAGAGCAGTATTTATAATGAACCAGCAGAAATATTAACTTTCCACTAAACTAACACGGCGAGTCTATAAAGCCAGTCGCTAATATATGAATATTTCACGGTTTATCAATGTCTGGATATGATTCTCAAAAATACTCAGGAAATCCAACAGCGTAAATGGTTCGCAAACTCGTACACAAACACACCTTAGAACTGACTCTCGCGTCAATCTGTGACCTGCAATCGACCTTTCCCACATCCAACCGAGCAGAAGCCCCAAATTCAGCAGCTCAGTGCGATGCAGACCTGCAGATCGTGTGTTTTTGTGAGAAGGAATCTGAGATGACAGACTGTCCGCTACACACTGACCCCTGCATGCCCTTTTCACAGCTAGCTTACATGCTCATTCAGACTCTTTCTCCCACACATACAAACTCAAGACTGATTGAAGGAGAAAAAAATGGCTGCTGCTGAGGGTGAAAAACACACCTTAGCTTGCTTGCGATCACCAGACTGACAAGGCGGCAGTCTTGTGCATGTAATTCTCATTCATGCTTAACTTTTTGTTATTATTTATAATGATTGCGATGAATGACAGCTGTACGCATGTGACTGGTAAACTGCTTGTCCAACCAATGAAAGGTGCCACCCATGGAGACATTGCTGAACATATAGCTCATGTGGGCAACAAACACAAGGCTTGGAACCACAGTCAGTGTGTCTGTCTGTAACAAAACGTTTAGAGGAATAACTAGCTTTAGAGGCTTAAAGTTCAGATAGTACACTTATATTATGCATACCTTTAAGAAAATGGGGAAATATTAAACTAAATAGACACCTATAGCTAATTCTGTTCTATTTCTACTTAGTCCTTCTCCAGTTGGGACATACTGCTGGAATTAAATGCAACACCTTTGGACGCAAATGTTGGACATTTTTTAAACCGACCAGCTCCTTAAAGTAAATAATGAAATGCATGATGCTGGCCCTTTTGGAGATTCACTGCAGTTTTGTTGAAAGAATAATATTCTACGGTTAAGTTTTCTAGGTAATAGAAATCCACATGGAAAGTAAAGTAACAGCGTATGGTGTGTGACAGTAAGAGGTGTCGTTTGAAGTCTTTACCTGGTGGCTTCTTGCTCCAGTCGGGACACACTGGGCACGTAGAACATGACTCCAAAGAAGAGCAGTGGCTCATTGCCAAACTTGTCCAGCTGCTTCTTCAGGGGTTTCTCGAGCTCCACCCAGCGCTGGGCTGGGGTCTGGGCCTTTCCTTGGAACCACAGCCCGAAGTAATGGGTCTGAAAACGGGACAAAGATGGAGGGAGAGTTTGGTGAACACTCAAAGGAAAGTGAAAAAGGAAAATAAGGTAAGGACAGACGATAAGAGAGTGGAGTCGGGTTGAGGAGATTTGAATAAAAAATAAGCTTGTTGGAGTGAGATAAAGAAAACACATTTAGAGAAACTAGATGAGACAAAGTATCGGGATGGTAAATAGCGATGGATGATCAATAGTGGGTTGAGGAGGAGAGAGGGAAATGAGTGGAGTTAAGTACATTTAGGAAAATTAAGCAGAGTAGACAAAAGCTCAAATACTGCAAGAACACGTATTTAAAATCGTATTTACTGTTGATGCCAGCCGTGTAACTCTATTAAAGGTGCACCTAGATCTGGTAGTGAAATTTGAAAGTTGGAGAAAATGGGTCACTGGAACACTGTTTGGAGCTAAAAAAGCTACCAGGAGAGTTACGGTTTCCATGTTGAGGCCCACCATCATAACTTATCTTCAAACAGTGTTACAGAGACCAAATGCTCCTCTGAAGACAGTTTGTGTATAGAGTTATGAACATAAACCACAGAATCTGTTAATTTCTCCAACTTTCACATTTGTCAACTAAAACTCCACAGTGCACCTTTAACATGAATATTAGACAAAACCCATTGGAGAGAACAGGCAATACACCTATCTAAAGAAATGGAAACAAGGCTTAGTCCCATGCCATTCATTTTGTAGATTCAAATCCTATTAAAGAACACAATTCAGCTGATTTGCTTTGGTAATTTTGTTGACAGAAAAGCAAAAACGCAATTTATTTAGATCTCAGACAGTTTTCAACACGCAGCAATTTTGAATTTGAACCATGACACTGCTACCACATGTGTTAGTGTTTGTAGGCAGCAATGTTCAAAAATGACGTATTTTTCCTAAATAAAGATCCTGCTAAAGAAATCAAAACTCTGTCGCAAACTGAAAATAACTTATTTCATCATAAATGTAAATAACTCAACATCAGGAACAGGTGAAAAGTTGTTTTCAGTGTGCCACAGAGTCTTGATTTATTTTTCGTGGTATGTTCCTTTAACTGTACGCACCTGAGAACGTGTGCACGGGGTAGCATGTTGGCCATAAAGATCCTGCTAAGTTTAAGCATGATTGTGTATAGTGTCAGGCCCTATAGGCTACTACTGATGGCTTACCCCATTTATTAGTAAAAACAATGATGTTCTATTGGTTTTGTGTGCAAGTGATCTTCTTATTAGTGTCACAATGATGAGGTGAGCGCACCTGGCTCATCTGCCTTGTGGTATACCACTGTAAAGAAAGTCATAAAGATGCAAGCCGCAGCTGCAAGGGCATGAACACACACATACATACCCTCCTTCCTCACATAAACACACACACAAATAAGGTGTGTGGTACAGGAATACTGATGAAATTCAGGCACGAACACACAGTCAAACACTCACTTATCTAGCATGCCTACAAAAAGGAGCAGACAGTGACTGGAACGGAGCCGTCACAACACCTTATTTATATCATCACTGACACCTGGCAAATACCACAACACTGTGTGAGGACGCACAAATGCACCGCCCCTCCTCACTCACTTTGTCAGGGCAGTCGAACACTCGTATTCATCAAACACAAATCAGTCGTTGACCGGCCATTCTTTCTCTAGTGTGTGAACAAACGGTCCCGTCAGTGTCACACGCCAAACAATCCCTCATCACAAACAATACACTCCTGCGCTGTAGTAAGACTCTATAGGTGGAAGTAAGTGGAAATGTGGATGAAATGGCAGAATAAAAGGGGACAAGAGACAAACAGAACAGAGAGAGGGGTGGAGTACGAGAGAGGGGGGGGGATGAGCTGTATCTCTTTCTTCCGCGGAGAAAAGGGGTAAGAGGTAGCCACGCTTCGTTAGAGATGGACAAGGACCCTGCAGGAGAGAGACAGCAGAGGGCAGGCCGACACACACAGGGCATAGGGAGAGGCGTGTGGCGATTAACACAACTCACACACAGACACACACAGACACACACACACACACACAAGGGCCCAGTTAGACTACCTTGTGTTCAACAGAGCATGACTGTTTTGACCAAGTCTTCTTTATTATGATTTTTGCCCAACAACTTGATGAAGAACTTCATATTCAAAATTTAGATACGCTGATTTATTTTCCATACTTCCCACACCTACTTCTAATATTTGTATGTTAAAGCTGAAAATATCTGAAACAAGAGTTCAATGTGTCCATCAGCATTTCATCCTTGTTCATGAAAACCCTGATAGGCATCTTCAAGGTAAGCATTTCACTTATATAGGAGAATTAATTAGCATTTTAATTAAAATTGTGAACCAAAAAAACTCAACATTTCCTGGAAAGCCAAATATCAGCTGACATCTGAGTCAAACAGAGGGAGGGTCATGAAATGAAAGACTCATCCTTACCTCCCGTAGCTCCAGCCTTTGGGCCACCGCCTCCAGACATTCCTGTCCTGTACTCTCCACCGACAAAGTGCATTCAATCACATTGCTGTCCAGCAGGCGAATCCGTGTCACAAAGTAGTTCTTGCTCAGGACGTTGTAGCGCCGTGTGCGCCGCAGCTTCAGCCGGAAGGGCATGGCTGGCTGGAGGTTACGGCGGAGTCAAAAGGTCAAAAGTCAAAATCCACACAAGCGGAGAGAGACGGATGGGCGGGCTCTACGACCTGGCCGCTGCCCTCCTCACTCTCGCACGGCGCCGGCCACACCACCGGGTGGAAAGATGCACCCTGGCAAAGCGCTGGCCCATTCCCAAAGATGGAGAGGAGGAGGACGAGGACAAGGACGATGAGGAGAGGGGGTAAGACCAGTTGCTGGAAGGAAAGATGGAAAAAAACAATGATTATTTATCAACACAAAGTTTTGTGGACAAAGGAAACATGCAAAAACTAAATGTTGCTGTTATCAGGAAACATTTGTCATATCCAAGCCTCCCACTTAATATTTTACGCTACTATCATTGGGCCTGACCCCCATAAACAAGCACACACAAAACACAGACGAGACTATCAGTATCACCAGGGATAACAACAGCAGCAGCGGTGCCACGATGTTAGCAGAGGCAGGAATCACACGGTAGCAGACAGCTTTATCCTGTAGTTATGGCAGCTGCAACACTCTGCAGCCCCATGAGGCCCAGCGTCAGGCAAAGCTGGGAGACAGAGGCAGAGATGTGAGGCTTCGGATGAATGGACATCAAACATCCGAGCGCAGACATCCATCTGAACCCGGCAGCTGGCTTTGAGGAGCTAATGGAGCTTCTAAGTCTCATATCTGCCTGTGTGGGAGGCCTTTCCTTTCCTTTTTATCTACCCCCTCTCCCCCTTCTCCCTGCCCCGCTGCAGCCCAGTGCCAGACATTGTAGCGTACAGTGAGGCATGTGTGTAAGATCACACACACACACACACATGTAACGGTGGCACATGTGCTTACAAGGCCACACTTCTTGTCAGCCACTGCCACAAAACAGAAATATTGTTGTCGTCAGGAAACTTATAAATCGTTTAACTACAGCAGAATAAGTGTATCAATCTGAGGATGATAACATACACACACACAAACAAACACACACACACTGTGGTTTTAAGGTCGAGACAGTTCTTCAGGGAGCCTTTGAAAACATCTCTTGGTTAGTCATTAGTTATTACCTTTTGATGTTTGTAATGAGGAAAGAGCTTTGATGTTGGCAAAGACACCCAAAAGGAACTGTATTTGTACTCCGTATATTCACACCTGTAGTGAATGTAAAGGCAAACAGCATAAAGCAGTGTGCTTTAGGGGTGATGGCATTTATAAGCCTTGTTTGACTGGAACTAGACAGGGTTGGAAAATAGCACCCACCAGCCGCCTGATGCGGGTGTTTTGATGCAGTGGTGGTGGAGTTTGCGCAGACCATCGGCCTCGGTGGCAGGTAAATGAGAGTGATTTGTGACAGAAAAACGTTTGTTCTGCTCTGACTTTATGAGAAGAGCCAGGCGGCCTACACGCACACTGATCACAGGGCTCCGCCCCTTCCTCTTGTCGGAGCAAGTGTCGCCGTTTACAATGAATGGATGGGCTTGGTGTCCCTTGAGTGTAGTGCAGCACTGATTTGCATCTCCATTACAACTGGTTTGGCCTGGCGGTTATACAATAAAAAAAAGTGTCTGAAAGAACTTATAAATAGCAAAGTTATGATTGGTCATGGTCAAAGGAACCGGCTGTTTTATATGGCTACTCCCTACAGGGTTATAGAATTCGCCGCTTATGGCAGCTCAGCAGTTAATTCTGTAATAAACACACTCTTTTTCCCACAAGTTTTTCATTTGAAAAGTTACCGGTTTATATGTCATTGCTTTAACTGTGAAACCATATCCATATCAAGATATACAGTGTTTTCAGCAGCAGCTTAACACAACTCAAACATCTGGAATATAAACAACGGAGAGAAACGAAACCTCAAACCACACAGATCCAGTTGGAGGCTACAATGTAGTGACTTAAAAGAGTATTTGTCTATTATCATGAACTGAACACACAGTGATTTATAAAAAAAACCCATCTTTCTCTGGTCTCATGCACACATGAGTTGAGTATAGCACAGGCTTGTTTGTGGGGGGGTGAAACATCGGATAGTGCGCAATAACAATTTGAAACACACTTTTCGGCAGAAACCTTTATGACTGATGACTCTCTTTATATAAGCTCATGTACTTTTAAAACAATCAACTGATTATCTTGCCTCTCAGTCAAGGTTCAGCTGCAGCTCAAATCAGCCTTTAAAGACATTGCTGCAATAGAGACTCTAACCAGCCTCAAACTAAAATCACAAAAATAAAGTTTTTTTCTGTTTATGAGTGGGACAAAGAGCATGTCAGCCTTTTATAAATGAATCAGTTCTCTTCATAAAACAGCCTATTTCTTCGATATAATAAGCATTGTGTTAAAGTCATTACACAACAGGTTAAAATAAAGTGGCTTGGTAAAAATATGAGTAGCTGGAAGTTTTTTGAATCCACTAGATACAGTGGCAGATAGGCAAAAAAAAAAAGTTAATATCCAACCCTGGAACTACATGTAGACCCCAAAACCAAAGAAAGGTCTCCACACCTCTACATATAAAGCACAAACTCTCCTGCAGACAAAAACACTAACAAGAGCCACAAAAACCGGCAACCAATCCCAACATCTTCAGGGAAATGCAGAAAAGTGTGTATGTAAAGAATTTAAAATTGAAGCATGGACAAACTGGGAGAATGAGCACACACAAAAAAAAAAAGAATGCAAGGACCAAAACACTTCAGAACAATGCTCCAGTGAATATGAGAGGAGAAAAGTGGGGGAGGAGTAGAGAGGGAGAAGGAGGAGGAGTAAAGACGGAGGGGATGTGTTGCTTCTTGTCCCGGGCTCTGGGCAATGTGCTGTTGATAGTCAGCTTGGACCCCAGCCCAGATTCCTCTCTACCCTGACTGGAAAAACAGAGCACACCTGACACAAGTATGCACCACAAGGAAGGAAAGTGTGTGTGTGTGTGTGTGTGCGTATGTGTGTGCATGTGAGTGTGTGTGTGTGTGTGTGTGTGTGTGTGTGTGTGTGTGTGACAAGGCTGAGTGAGTTGAAGAGAAAGACACCGGGAAGGCGTGGGGGGGGAGAAGAAGCTACAAACTGCTGACTTAAGTATAGCCTTGTTGTTTGCAACGGATTGAATCACACTTGTTTTTTGTAACAGCCGTGCCCCTTTTGGGAGCTGAAACACATTCCTGAGTCCTGAATTCATACAGCTCACTTAAGTGTGGCATCATGTAATTCATGCTTTTATATTTTTAGTAGGGCATACATGCAAACAAGAAAAATCGAGCAAAAAGGCCACAGTAAGTGAATATCTGCAATTTACCACATTTCAATTGTTGCCAGTTTCCTTTGATTTCACATTCAGGGTGGGAAGCTAATGTTTTGTAATATTGTCATATTGCTGTGTTCCTGCTTGGGAACAGAATAAATCACAGCCTCTCAGTTGATAAGGAAATGGACAATGGATTATATTTGAAGATAAAAAACACATTTGACACCAAGTTGTCTAGCACCTTTAAAGGTGCACTATGTAGATTTGGTAGTGGAATTTGAAAGTTGGAGAAGTGAAACAATTCTATGCTATATTTTCTGAACTGAATACACAAACTTAATTCAAAGGGAAAGAATGGGTCCCTGGAACACTGTTTGGAGCTAAAAAGCTACCAGGAGAGATACACTTTCACTGTTTGGGGCCCCCCCATCATAACTTCTCGCGTAGCATTTTATCTTCAAACAGTGTTCCTGGGACCAAATTTTCTCTCTGAGGACAGTTTGTGTATAGCGTTATGAACATATACCACAGAATCTGTACATTTATCCAACTTTCACATTTCTCAACAAAAATTCCACAGTGCCCCTTTAATGCAGTTTTAACAATAGCTAACATCAATATTATTATTGGTGGTATACTGCTAGCATTAGCTGTGGTAGCATATGTCATCAAATGTTGAGTTAAGTTGAGTTGAGTTGCAAGGGGCCATATTCAACTCTTGGGCCAGAGTTACCTAAAACATTAGTTAATTGAACTTTAAATGTGGCCCTTTGTCGATACACATTTCACATTTACATTTTTTCAATCAGGAGGCAGTGATATGAAAAAGAATGGCAGATTCCTTACACATATGCAGGAGCATGTCAAGAGGGGTGGCCAGGGATGGCATGGCCCCCCTTGAAATGTTATTGTCCGCCCTTGGTGCCACCCCAAAATCCTAAACTATGATTGGCTATTGGCTGTGTGAGAAGCAGGACTTTTAGTAAGCTGTGTTGCAACAGGCGGCTCGTAGATGTGCATTTCAATTTGGCATATATATATCCTCGAGTTAGTTCTTTAAATTATGACTTTGGACATCTTTTTAAGTTTGATACAATTAAGCTAAAACTAATAATATTTTGCCTCTATGTCGTGTTACTTTAAAGGATTATACACTGAATATGACATCTGTATGATGCTTCAATGTTAATAGTTCAAGAGGACATAATATACCCTTTTTCTACCTTTTCAAACAGTCCCCTGTGGTCTATGATACATCTGTGCTGTGCTTTGGTCAGAATATAACATGAATCAAGCACCAGAGGAGGTTTGTGACCCTGTATAAACTGCTCTGTTTTGGTGTTTGTGTCTCTTTAAATGCAATGAGCGCCCCCTGAGTTTTCCCGCTAGACATCACTCCTTCGCTTGTGAGAATAAAAATGGCGGACCTGCGCAAAAGTTTTGCTCTAGGCTGGGGGTGGAGTCCGTAAGTGGAGCTATACCAGGGGATGGGGACGGGATTTTTCTTTTTAACCAGAATCCCACTTGTGATGTCACAAGGAGAGGAAATTGGAAACGGAGCATTTTTGTCTGTGTTGTAAGACTTATGTAGACCACAAACAAATTGCTGGATGGGTTTGTTTCACATTTTGTCAGTTGGTAGACACTCAGGTTACCCAAACATATGTTCAAATACACTGTAAAGTGGATTTTTCATAATATGTCCCCTTAAAGTAGATATGAATAGAGGATACAGAAAGGATAAATAACTGCTATTTATGTCTATGTGCACATATACTTTGGACCACCTGTGCATAAGTCAGTACCCCAGTCAAAAGAAAACCAGGGACGGCACACATGTGATTTTTAAACCTGGAATAAGCATAAGAATAACATTAGAACCACTCACCCTGAGAAAATGGCCGCTGTGTGACTGGTCATATTGGGAGTAGATCTGGATATGTGGCCACAGTGACCCCAGTCATACACCTAAACCACACGCACCCCCTCCTC